AGCCAGCCATAGTTTTATGGTGGGTTAGGGGATAATCCTAGTCAGCCTACACATTTAGTTTCACTGAAGTTCAGGCTGGTTAGAGATCTAGACTTGTTCATCCTCTAGCACTCTGTGCTCCTCCTGCCAGCTTGAATTTGGCTGCCTGCTGGCTTGAACTCAGTTTCCTGACCTTCTGCTGAGTTGAACTGAGCAGGCTTAATGTGATACTGGAAGCTGCTAGGTGGAGCTGCCCCATAGCTCTTCTGAGTTCTGAGCTCAGTTTGCCCCTGTCTAAGGTGGCTACCAGTATTCCTCTCCGGGGCGAGGGGGGTGTCTGAATCTGAATAACTCACTAGCTGCTGCAGTCCACTATGCCACTGGTCTGTTCCACTGTTGCCTTTCTCCATGGAGGCCCTTGTGGTCACCAATAGTCACCATCATCTGCAGGTTCAAGCCATGCCTCCCACATAGTGAGTTCTGTCTGCCTTCCTTCCAGTTCTTTGAAATATCTCACTCTACTCTGTGGGCTTCAGTTCTAACTTCAGATCATCGTGGCCTCTTCTCTCCTTTTCTTCCTCACATTGCTGTATTCCAGCATCTGGTAAACAAATCTTGAAGACGCTCTTTCTCTGGTGCTCAACACTCCTAAAGGAAGTTTCTGCTTTATTCTTTCATAGTTATTATTTTTCAGTTCTTCTATTAGGTAGATGTGTCCCTTTGGCTTCATTTATTTATTCACTCCATCATGTATATTTGTATTAGCACGAATTCAAAGGTACTATTTTATTCTTTGGTATTGATTCTAATCTGATCATTCTTTTGCTGCTCAAATTGTGCCAACACTGACCACTGCGGTGGGTCCTTGTGGACTTTTTGATATGTCAGTTTTAAAAAGCAGTTCCTGTTTTCTAATACCAGATAATAGTGGCTTCACTTGTATATTCCTACTGTGTCCCTGGAATCTACTGTTCCAAAGAGTCTTTTTTTATTTTTTTTCCCAGCAATGTTAATGTCTGTAAATTTGGAAGTACTGCTTCCAAATTTAATTAACTCATTTATTTTTTAATTAACTCATTTATTTTTATTAGTACATGTTTGCCATATATAATGATCACATTTTTGGAGAATAGTAAACTATTTGGCAACTGAAGTCCGGGTGCTGGATATAATCATTGTCCTGGGATGTCACTCCTTCTAGATCTGGAGAATAATTTGTAATAGACTGTAAATCTAAATGATCATACCTTTTTGACTATGTAAATCTGCTTTAAAGAGATTCTAGGGGTCTAGGATATAGCCCAGAGGCACAGCACCTGCCTGGCAAGCAAAAAAACAAAAACAACAACAACAAAAACCCCACAAGACATCCTATAGTATTAGTCCATAAGTATATTTATAAAGAAGTATATTGCTATATTTCTGAAAATGATAAATTAGAGAAATCTAAAAGCTCCACCAAGAAAATATTGGTTAGACTTACTTGTGATACAGTGGAATACTCAACAGAATTGTTAAAAAAAGGAGGTTCATGTTCTCTGACATGGAAAGATATGTAAGAGTGTCAGTATAGATAGTATGATGCAATATTTGCTTAAAGCAGTGACCTTTTAGAACTTTCAAAGATATAAACTGCCCTCTGTGAAAGGCATACCATAGGTTTGCCACCACTGGCTTAAAGATTGTGTGTACATGAAAACTGTTGTTTCTAGGTGATCAAATGAAAAGAATACTTTGACTTTATTAATATATTTTATAATGTTTGAGTATTTTAACATAATTTTTAAACTATCTTTTCTGTGAAATGGCATTCTAGTCTATACTAGTACAGACTTGTCTCCATTTGTTTCGCACTATACACACAAGATTTGGAGAGTTGTACTTAAATTTTAACATTTCTTTATTATGTTTTAATATTTATGAATCAAGTGACCCATAATCTTACATCCTAGAACACTCACATGTACATATATTCTTACAGGGAAAAGATGTGATTCTTCCACAGCTTAGAGCCTCAGCTTAGGGCTGAGTTTATAGGTTGACAGGTTTAGGGCAGTTGTTTTAACTGAGTGATTTTCTTGTTCTTTTATAATTTTCAGTCAATTTTTAAGTATGCACTTTTTGTTTATATAAATATTTAAAATTCATTTGTATCCACCACCCAGCAATAAGTAGTCTTAATATTTTGTGTCTGTTGCTAATTTTTCTATAACTATGTAACACTAAAACGTGTGTGTAATGGAATCATGAATACCTTTTTGCACCTATATTTATGTGGGTTTTTTTTGAGACAAGGTCTCAACTGTGTAGTTGCACCTATATTTCTTGATATCACCATTTCTAAACATTGGACTATATTCTAGTTTGGCCATTTTCACCCACAATTACTTGGCAATATATGACTTATATATATTTTCCTAAAATTAGACCTGTAAAAGAATTTATTTTTAGACTTGAACATTGCGTATGAAAGACTTAATATTTTCTGCCCTTTTGTTTTCAAAGAGTGGAAAAATATTAAGTCTTTCGTACATAATGTTCCCTAGTCCCTTTTATGATGAAACATTCTGTTTTAAACTTATTAAAATGGGTCACTGAAACATTAAGTACAGGAGGACAACTCATCATGCTTGAAATATTTTCAACAGATTCTATCACAAGTTTAGTATTAACTTTATTTCTGAAAGAATATTTTCAAAATACTGGTTAACAAACTTGTTTACAGAGAGGGCTTAAGCTGTCCCAAAATATGTGGGTTGTTCCAAAGTTGAATAGCATTGTCTTGAATTTGTATCACATTTTGCTTCATTTAAAATTATTTGTATGCTCTTGTTAGCTGTGTGGACAGTGTTTTGTTCCATGTTATTTGGTAAGTTGGGTTTTGGCAGTGCTACCTTCTTCAATAATTATAAGGCCATATAATTGTGTTAGTCTATTACTTTTTCATATACTACCAAGTTTTATTAAGAAAAAATGTATTATACACTTCAGTGTGTCAAAAATTTGCCAAGACTTTCTAAATTCCTTATTTTGCAAAAAACTTGCATATCCATGAAAGTGACAAGTTTTAACTAAAATTTCCTTTAGAATTGTAGTCAAATCATCTCTGTCCCCTATCATCTATAAATGGATCCTGCATAGTGGCAGTCTGCTTAGTTCTTTTATATTAAATAACATTTTCAATTTCTTTTAGAAAAATGACTGTAAGAGAAGGGTGCTGTTTTCTAGGGAATGTCAGCAGAGAGTTCAGGGTTAGTTTTAACTGTTACGTAGAAAACCTAAAATTAGTCTAGGTTACCAAATATACATTAATTTGATTTCCTTTTCAGTGCTGGGTAGCAATTATTCTTTAATTGTTTATTTTGTGGCTGGGGATTGCTTTGGAGCTACACGTGTTAATCCAGTTCTCCACTCCTGAAGTATATCCCCAATCCCTTTTATGATGAAAGAAATAGTGTTAAGGTTTTAGGCACTGAGAAACATCTTATACTTCTTTGAACTAAAGAACCTCTGAGAGTTTCTTTTCCTACCAAACTGATTTAGGGCTATGAGACTGGAAATGCATAAAAGGTTGAAGCTGGAGCTTTCATCCAGCTGGGAAAATTCACCAACACTTGACCATCCTTCCCAGTTTCTACTCTAGTACCGACTGTCAAGTGTTGACTATCTTTTGCAAGTATTTATTATCCAAATTAAGTAATCTAGTAGACAGTTGTGTATATTCTTCACCACCTTCCTTCCCCATCTTCTGGCTACCTATAGATCTTTAAATGATTCTTATATAAAGGTTTTTGTCATTTTTCATTTATCAAAATTAAGTGTGGGGAAAATACGTGATTTACATATACAGTTACAAAGTTTTTCTCCTGCAACATTCTGAATGTTACTCTTTGGACGTATTTTGCTAGCTATGTGAAGACCCCACTTCATGTTAGTAATAAGTGGGAGGAAAATAGGAAGATAGTAAATAGCACGACTCCTGTTTATACATAGTCTTAACCTTTTAACCTCTTCCTTATTCTATCTCTAGCACTGTCTCCACAAAGTAGATTTTAGATATTAAGCTAAAGTTGAAAGTAGTTCTAGAAGACAGAACTAAAGGCATCATCTATTAGTGATAGTTATGGTTATAAATCATTCTTTCCTTCAAAGGAGTGAATTAACTATTTGAGTTAAAATCAACTACATTACTATGGTGTTTAAAGTTCTATGGATGTTTGTTATGTGATTTCAATTGGGATGTCTAAATAAAAAACATAGAGAGTTATTCTTATAAATATATGCAAGTAATAGTAACTACTGGAGGTTGGAATAAAACTTCAGTTCTTTAAAATCATAGATTCATGCTTAGAATGTTCCACTGCTGTTGATGTCAACAAGCATTATAAAATTAATAAAGGGCCTTATTTTACTCCACTGTGCATTCAAGTACTAACTAGTTTCTCTCCACATTGCCCAAAATAGGTCAATTCTCAAAAATAAATTGACATTAAACATTTTTGGTATATGTGTGTCTTAAGAAGCATTGTAAATATGATCTGTTTATAAATCAAGGCAAAACCAAAATATCTTTAGGTTGTTACCTAGACCAGTGCTATATTTCCTTTTACAAAAATATCTTGTATTATTTAAAGGAAAATATATTTTGTTTTCATAGGAAAACAACTAAATGCCTATTGGCTTTTAGGAGTTGGGATGCCTTTCTTGTTTGCTGTAGCCAGATGTTGTCTCTGTCTCTGAGATTTGTATTGGTCTGACAGCTGAGGATAAAAATTATAGGAAGTTAAAATCCTGATCCTTGCCATCTTCCCAGAGTTTCACTGCTGTTGCTTTGAGTCTGGCTAAGTTAATTTTATAAGATGTTAATAGCAGTACTTCTGGTCATGCATTCATTTTATTTTTACGTTGGGTACCTGGCTTACCCAAAACTAAAGTGTGTAAGTAATGCAAAATAGTACTTGATTTGTTTTACAGTATACATTTTTCATGTCACTGTACTCATAACTGTTCTCTTACTACAGATTGAAATCACAGAAGACAAACACATTCTTAAAAGGAAAAGAAGAAATCTGTAAGTATACTACTATACAACCGTTTGAAATTCCAAATGATCAACTTTTTGAGAAAATCAAGAGACCATATTGACTGGTATTTTGACTTTTTTATACCATAAAAACCCTATCAATATTTATGATGATGTTCTGAAGGTGATATTTGAAAAAGTAAAATATTAAAATGTTTTACTGTGTGCAACCTCAAAAATTTAAGCCATTTGCTACTCATTTATAAAAGGGCAAGTGATAATTAAAATCCAAATACTTCCTTTTTCTTTGACTCATACCAAAGAGTATGAGTCACAGATTGGAGTTCCCGTTTTGCCTACTGAGGCATATATACTTTTTGTTTTTGGTGAGCTATTTAATTTTTCATTGCCTCAGTGTCCTCATCTATAAAATAGTCTGGATATTAAGTGCACAATCAAAGTTTCCTTATTATTGGTAAAATTAGATCTGTAGCAGTTCATTTTTACCCCAATAAATTAATTCTTGTTTTGGTTTAGTGGTTATTTCTCAAGTTCATTTAAGTCTATTTCTGACCTTCCTCAGTTTAAGTACCATCCCTGTCTTTCACCGAGGCATCTACTTTAGACGTTGGTACAGAGTAAAAGAAATACAGTAGAGCACTTAAACATAAAATTACAGGGTTTCAGCCTCAGGTTTTGAAAATTATTTAGTCCAGTGGTTACCAAATGTTGACTTTTAGACCAGTGCTAACTAATGCAAAAGAATTTACTGATCCATGGTGAAATAAGGAAAAGGGCATCAGTTCATGAGTTTATCAAAACTAAACACTTGCAGTTTAAAGGATAGCTGCTTCTTATATACTCACCTAATTTGGGTAAGTTAGATGTGTTCTTTATTTTATAAAATAATGCTGATAGTAAACATGGGGCTCTTTTTTTTGTTTTTCATTTTCTGTTTTTTGAGACAGAGTTTCACTATGAAGTTCAGGCTGAACTTGAACTCACATTGTAACCGAGGCTGGCCTTGAACTTGCAGGAATCCTCCTGCCTTGGCCTCCAAGTGCTGGAATTACAAGGGAGCATTTTTTGGGGGGCGGGGGTAACTGGGGCTTGAACTCATGATCTTGTACTTGCCAGGCAGGTGCTTATGCCGCTGAGCTAAATCCCCAGCCCTAAGGGCCTTTTTTGTTAAAGCCCCATACCAGTCAAAAAATGACAGCTCTGTGTCATTTCAGGCACCATCTTTTAAAAAAAAATTGTGAACTAGTCTGATATCTGAAAATCTGAATCCAGCTTTCTTATTTTATAGATACAGAAGCAGTCATTAAGGTGCCATTTCATTTGTTCCCAGTCTTACAGCTCAGCAGTTCCCAAATGAGAACCAAAATTCTTCATCTGATGCTATCTTTCTAATATTTCTGGTCTTCTGAGAATCACTTTTATTATAATGGGTTAGGAACTAGAAACAAGATATAATACCTCTTCTATTCTAATAACTTCTATTTCTAAGCATAAATTCAAATTTGTTGTAATCTAACTTAGCTCTGAAGTCTATTGATTAGTCTGCATTAGAAAATCTTAAATACATAGCCTATGTTTTTGTCAATAGGTCAGAATTAATTGTCTGGATTCAGCTGCTTTAGGTTCCTTTTTTTTTGGTGGGGAAGGACTGGAGATAGAAGCCACAACCTTGCCGCTAGCAGGGAGGCACTTATGTGCTTTAGTTTTCTTGCTACCCCATGATTGACAAAGAGATAAGATAGCCTCTTTAGTGTTTCGTCTTGGTAATTGACAGACAATGACACTGTTGAGAAGGTCAGCATATTCAAGCATCTATAGTTATTTCTCCAGAGAGAGTACTGTTTTCTCTGTCATACACATATACCTACTGTCACAGTTATGGATTTATATCAGTTGGCTAGCCAGTCTAGACTTGGAAGGGAAAAAGCTACATACCAAGTTGAATGTTAGGAGTTGGCAAAGCATTGGTTAAGTATCTGAGCAGTTATATTCAGGGCACTATAGAGGGCCCATTAATTACCATTGCTTTGCTTCAACTGTTTTTCAAACAAAAATAATGAATGCCCGTATCAACCTTGATCACTTGCCAGGTAAGCCAATGAAATGTGAAGAGAAGACAGCTTGGACTCTCTAACATGGAGACATTAACTTTAGGAGTACTTCTCCGTTTTTTTTTTTTTTTTTTTTTTTTTTTTTTTTTTCTGTATTTGTGTTGTGTTGCTTTCTTCCTCTGTTAATAACTCTTACTTTCTTAAATGTTAGACACATCGATAATGAAATAAATGTTATAGATAAAAGTGGCATTTCTCCTGTTTTTGAAACATGTACACTTGTTTTCTTAGAAGTCTTTATATATGAATATGGACTGACCATAACATTTCGGTTTGCAACAGATTTATGTTTTTAGAGTTCTTTGATTACTCTTATAAGATATGCTTAGTACCAAATAGAAGAATTAGCTCCTTTTAATAAAACCATGAGACAGTTTCACATTAGGTTTGTTAGGCAGCTAACTTGGAATGACTTATTTGACCATTTTATAAGAAATATTTTAAGACTCTAATGTTTAGAGTCCAAGATGCTCAGAAGCAACAGTGGCTAGGAATTAACCTGTTAAACTGTCTCTGGTAGCAAATGGGGCAGGTCCTGTGGCCAAAAAAGAAAAAAAAATAGGACAAGTTACAAAATTCTTCCTGTAACACAAAGATAGTCCTGTAGTGAACACTGCTAGTGACAGATTATTTTGAAACCTACACTTTTGGTTGGCAGCCCTGAATTGTATTACCTTATTATAATAAATATATAAGATTACATGAGATAGATGAATAACTAATAGGTATGCTCCCTATGTTCCTTACTGGAACAAACCACTTTATAAATTAACTTTAAAGTTAAGTTCTATAATCCAATTATTTTTTGTTAACTTGTGTTAAGATTATGAGTGTGTTCTGATAGAGAAAAACACCCAGTAAATAGACAACCTCAGATGAAATGAAGATCTACACCATGGCATGATCAGACAGTTTGAGTTCACAGGAAGCTTTTGGGTAGAGGAATGTGTAGCAGTTATTCTTTAGCAGCTCTTGAATGCTCAGTATATGTGAAGTGTGTAGGCTGCACCTTTGGCTCCTAGGTCCCTTTATTTCAACATATATGGTTAGGATTCTAATCATATCAACTTTTGACCTATAAAAATTTTATCTGATGCTTGCAAGGGGTGTTCTTAAGACATTATGGGAAGTAACTCATGCTAGAGCATGAAAGAACACCTTGACTATGGCTGCTAGGGTGTTTTCTTTGCTCGGAGGAGCTGGGAAGAGACTAGCAAAATGGGAACCACAGGAGTTAAGCTACCTCCAGGTGATGGAGTAAATAGGTTTGGTTAATCTCGTGTAAGACACACGCTAAGATCAGTTGTAGTTGTGTGAGATCCTTTGAGTTAAAAATAACAAGGCATAGGTGTGATATGTAGGGCAGCTAGTCATCCTACATTTTTATTCTATCTTTAGTTTTAAAATTATTTGTTATAGTTACTGTGTACTTGAGTTTAAAGTTTGCTTATACAAGTTATTTTGTATTGATTACTGGTCATTATTTGTGGTATAACAATTTGAATTAGGTAAAATTAATGAGTGACCATCTGACATGGGTTTCATATATTGATTCAGTCTTATAGACTATGATAGTAAGAGATCCTACAAGCTGCTCTTAATGTCTTTATTTTCTTAAAATATTAGCTTATTAAAATTTATACTATTAAATTCTAAAGTTAAGTATATTGTAATATACTCCTTAAAATTTCATATTGTTTATCAAATATAACCTTAGTGTTCGGGCTTTCTTTGGTATGTTTTAAAATCATTTGGAAATTTTTAATAGTGTGTAAAAGAAAATAACATTTTTTAGAAAATCACTCTCTTCAGGAAAGCCTTTGTGATGCAACATCTGTTTATATAAATATGATCTTTTAAAGTACAGCAGGTATTTTTATCTGTTAATATTTTGGAAGTTTTATAACTTTGTCCTTTTCTGAAGACAAATGATCTCTTAATTGGTTTTTTAAATTACTCTTAAATAATGTATGACTTGAAATTGTGACATCTTAATCATTATTTTTTAAATATTTGTAGTATTTTCTTTCTTTCTTTCTTTCTTTCTTTCTTTCTTTCTTTCTTTCTTTTTTTTTTTTTTGTACCTGGGATCAAACTCAGGACTGCGTGTTTGCAAGGCAAGCGCTTATGCCCTGAGCTAAATTCCCAGCCCTTGTAGTATTTTCCTAAGTGCCGAATGTCAAAGACAGGTGAAATTAATTTGTTACTACTGTGCATTTCAACATGGTACATGCATTGCTTCTTGACTGGTTTAGTTCACATTCTAAAAATTGCATAAAATGTCTTGGTGTTAATCAACTTCAATTTATTGATTTGTCTTTTTCATCTTTAAATTGGCATTTTGTCTCATGCTTCTGGGGAATGATGAGTTCTTCTAAATTCAAACTTTAATCAGTTTGTAATGTTTGTTTACCTTATTTACTAGAGCTTTATGTATCACTAATGCTTTTTGTGTTTAACCTATCTTAGAATGTTTGAAGTAACTGGAATGAAATATTTTATCATGAAGTTGACCTTAGTGCAAAATGATAGAACAAAATTATATCTGATTATTTACTAAAATTTCTAGAATTTTCTGTACATATAAAGTTTTTTGTTTTGCATCTATAAAATAGCTTAGGATGTAGGATAGATCACTGTTCAAAATTATTACCAGGATTTTTTCACACATGAAGTTTATTATTCTTGCCTATTTAGATTATTCCATTATGGTCAGCATCAAAAGCAATATATATATCAAAGCATAGAATTTAATAAAAGATAAACCTGGTCCAAATCTAGACAGAATACTTTAGCAAATTATGTAATCTCTGAGTCTGTTTTATCTGCAAATTGAGAGTATTGCTTCAAAGCAGTTTTCTGAAGGATTAAGTGAAACAATATATCTAAAGGACAGCATAGTGCTTTGTCCCTAGTAAGTATTTCAGTAGTGGCTGGGGATATAGCTCAGCAGCACAGTGCCTCCTTGGTAAGCGTAAAGTTGTAAGTTTGATTACTGGTACCAAAAGAAAAAAAATTTGGTGGTGATCGTGAAGATGATTCCCATATAGTATACTAAACTTCCATAGTGGCAATGACCAGTGACTAAAGATGATGCCTTGACCTTCCCTGTCATACAAATACCTGTATATTATCCTATCTCAAGGAACTCAGTGTTCTGTCTTTACTAATGTTAGGACCGCAGTAACACTTTTCATATATGGAAGGAAAGCATATCTTTGCAAAAGGTATCAGCGTAGTTTTGTATCCTTCCTACTCTCATAGCACACTGATCTATACCCTCTGCAACAAGCAGTTTTTCCAGTTTTATATTTTCTGTTAAACAATCAATAACTTGTTTTATTTTAATTACCAGGTATTTTAAAAGCATGATATTTCCTAGAACCTTGGCATGCACATGTGATTTTTTTTAAAAAGATGACTAAGGTTAACTGCATTGAAGTTATCATACTCATGTATACTTTTTATGTTTTAGTTTTAGTTAGCACATAGAGGTACTATTTTTGGTCACTAAGTTTTCAGCAGCAGACAGTAACCTCTCTGCCTCATGGAGATTATATTCTGATGGGAGTATAGTTACTAAATATGGCAAATAACATCTATGATTGTAAATGAAAATGCTAAGGAAGAAAGGAAGTGATTTAGCTGCAAATTTAAAGGGGGATGACTAAAGATGTTATTGCTGAAATGTTGAGTAAAGACTAAAAGGTAAGAAAGGTATCTGGGAAGAACAGTTCAAGCAGAATAGCAAAGACAAAAGCCCTAAGGCAGGATTATGCTTAATATGTATCAAGAATGCAAGGTGTAGGTGAGACTGAAGCAGAATGAGCCAGGAGAAAGAATAATGGGGGAAGTCTGAAACTTGAGAATAGGGAAAAGTTCATGGAGCCTTGCAGTTCATAGTGAAGACTTCAGCTTTTATTCTCATTGAATATTATGAGGATTCTTTGAAAGGTTTTGAGGAGAATGATATGCTCTAACTTACATTTTAAGAAGAGCTTTCTGGCAACTGAGATTAGGTTTTATTGTAGGGACAGGAGTAAGAAGCAGGGGGATTAAACCCACTATTGCATTTATTCACATGAGAGGTGATAGTGGCTTGAACCAGGATAGTAACAATTGAGGTAGAATTAGATATCTGTTTTGTAAGCAGAGCCGTTAGGTTTTACTGGTGAATTTGATTTGAAATGTGTGAGAAAAGGAGTAAAAAGGTGTATCCACCTTTTATGGTCAATTCAAGTGAGATGCAGAGACAGATAAGACTAGAAGAAATACAGTTGCAAAAGGATGATTGATGGCTCAGTTTTGAACATGCTAAGTTTGAGATGTTTGACATCTAAGTAGATCAGTTGAGGAAACAGCTGAATGTACAAACTTGTTATGTAAGGGAAATCTCCAGTCTTGAGGGGAAAATTTGGCAGTCATCACCATATATATGATACTTAGCAGTGTGACACTACGTGAGATCACCTTGAGAGAAAAAAGAGATAAAGGAGAGAAAATTCAAGGACTGAGTATTAGCACTTACAAGTTAAGGAGTTAAGAGAGAAACAGCTAAGAAAGATGGAAAAGTATGGCTGGAGAAATTGAAAAAAAACTGAATAATGTAGTCCTCTGGAAGCCAAGCAAGGCTGCCAAGTAGGTGAAGAAAGATGAGGAACAGCTGAGCTTTAGCCAACCTTTGTATCTATCAACATAGAATTCATGGTAACATTGATCAGAGCAATTTTGTGGTGTGTCAGGGACAAAAGCCTGCATGTAGTGGGTTCTAGAGAGGAGAGAACTAGGAGACAGATTGTATAGCCAGACTCTTTCAAAGAGTGCTAAAAAGAAAGAGATGCAAGGGTCTGTAGCTGAGGTAAAAGAAAAAGTTTTTTTGAGATGAAATAACATCTGTTAGAACAGACTGTTCTGACATTGATGGTAATGATTCAGTAGAACAGGAAGAAGTAATAGGCAGGTGAGGGGGTAGATAAATAGAGCAGCACCCCCTATCTCCATGGATAGACAGGTATAGTGCACAAGTCGAGGAATTGACCTCAACTGGGTGCATCAGTGGTTTATCCAGAATCATAAAAATGGATCTGATGATAGATGCAAATGTGTACATATAGTCTGTGGGAGTATGTGAGGAGTAATTTCATTTCTCCCTACTATAGTAAGCCTGATCAGCAACTGAGAATATGAATGAAGGTAGAGTGGTGCTCTGAAGAGAGAGAATAAGGTAGGAAGACTATAGACGAGTGGGTCAGTAAGTAGATTAGTGCAGCATAGTTTCTGTGCAACATGTAGAGCCCACGAGAGCTCTAGCAATCATGAACAAAGTGAGGCATTCAGCACAGTCATCTTTGTCCAAATCTAGCTTCAGAGTTACAGGTATAGATTAGGTAGAGAATTGTATTGAACAAGTTGTAGTTTAGCCAAGTAAGTATACTAGAGTGAGAGTGACAAGGTAGTTGAGGGTATGTGTCAGGGACTGATTATGGTTGCCTATGGAATCATAGAGAACACAGGATTCTCCCAGTGATACTGTTCAGTAAGTAATCAATCAGTATGAAGCTGCTGATGTGTGGCTTTTAAGTGGCAAGTCATATCACTTGTTCAGTCACTCCTGACAGCTGACACTGAGGTTAGAATTCCATGAAGCTGTATTTCACTTCACATACCTTTCTGTGGACAAAAGTATTCATATTTCTCATTGGATTCTCAAAGTCTCCTTGAGGCCTACTCATCTAATCTGATTACAGACTAAAATGATTTGCTTGTGGTTTCAGTCGGTTAGTAGAAAAGATGAGGACTGAAACCTACTCTAGTTTCTTGTTCATTTCTCCACATTTATCTGAAAGACATAAACAAAGGACAAGCATGATTAAGTGCCATTTTGTAATAATAATCAATGTAAAAAGAAACAAGTAACTTGGAGTCAGTGCAGTTAGGTCTGTTAGTGTATTTCCATCTGAGCTATGGAGGGATGGGCATCAGTTTATCTCTTCAAAGTGAAGTAATATTTTAATTTTTTAGTTGTTTTATGCTGCCACTCACCAAAATAGCTTTGCCACATAAAGGGAGGATTCCTGATAAGTATTATTATCCAAGATTCTTTCTGTAGTTCATAATGGCGGTGCATTTCTGACCTATAGCAGTCCCCAGTTTTCTGTCAAAATAACTTGGCCTGATTTCTCAGATCCTGTACTACCATAGCCTGTTTAGCCAGTGTATACTCCACGCTGTAGTCAGGCTAGTGTCCTTGTTTTTGATACTCCCTACTTTCCCAAAATTCTTTCATTTTTCCTTCCCTTTCTTCCTGTTTCCCAGCCTGGACTGCCCTCCATTGTTCTATTTCTAGACATGTAACATAATGTCCAGCTTAAATATAATTTCTACTAGTCCCTTCTAGTTACTCTTGGGCATTTTGTATTTATTCTGAAATCCTTTTACATCTGTTGTTTGTGCCACACACCATAGCACTCAGTGATGTGTTACCTCAGTGCTATTCAGCAGAAATGCTGTAGTGGGAGCAGGACTTCAGAAAGTCCAGGGTGGGTTGCTGGACGCCAGTAATCCCTGTTTCACCCAGAGCAACTCCATTTCATTCAGTGTTATATATGGGCAGTCTGCATAACTTTGTATTTATAGTAATGGTTTAGCTGCTTCATTTTCCTGTACCACTCCAAAGTTTGAGAAACACTAGCTCTATGTTTAAGAGATATCAACTCTTAATAGGTGAGGACTGGGACTTTAGATTTATGCTGTTCCTTCCAGGCAGCTGATACCATTTTGAGCACAAGAGGGATACTTAGGAAATGACTTTACATTCTCATTGCTCCTATTTGGAAATTAGTTGATAGTGATCAACATTACCTCAGAAATGTACCTTAATAAAAGAACTTCAGAGTAATATTCTAGGTTGTTCTTTGAGAAATAATCCTAATTAGATAGCCTCACTCTTTTGGATACAAAACCTAATAACCTTACTTAAAGCTGATTGGTTTCTATACACATATTTAATAAAAGCTCATTATTGGCATATTCTACTCTTCCAGGAATTGGCCATACTTAAATATCACTCATTGTATTTGTGTACATACTGAACTAGTGCTACCCTTACCTCCAATGTACAGAATGCTGTGCAGAGTATCAGCACACCTAAAAACCCAGAAAAAAAATTAAACTCAGAAATCGATGCACTTAAAAACATTTATGTCAGTAGATTATAAATGAAAAATGCTGGCATTTCATACCAGTTATTTCAGCTTTCTGTGTCAAATCAATTATATAAACTAATAAAGACCTGAATATTTAAATCAATGATGCTATCAACCTGTTAATATTGTTTTATTTTGTTTCTTTTTTTCTGCTCCCTGCCTGATTTATTGTCTTCACCTACAGGTGTACTTTATTGTTGGCTTCCAACGATTACTAACTTTTATCTGTCTCACTAAAATTGAACTGCCTTGGCTCTACTGCTGCTCTTCCTGCTGCTTCCATTATTGCCTTCTTCAGCAATATAAGGCCTTCAAAAGCCAAAAATAACAAGACATAAGCATCATTTTAGAAGCCTTTCCACTATGGAACTTAAACTAAATGTGCTCACCATTATTTTGCTGCCTGTCCACTTGTTAATAACAATATACAGTGCCCTTATATTTATTCCATGGTATTTTCTTACCAATGCTAAGAAGAAAAACGCTATGGCAAAGAGAATAAAAGCTAAGCCCACTTCAGACAAACCTGGAAGTCCGTATCGTTCTGTCACACACTTCGACTCATTAGCTGTCATAGACATACCTGGAGCAGACACCCTGGATAAATTATTTGACCACGCTGTATCCAAGTTTGGAAAGAAGGACAGCCTTGGGACCAGAGAAGTCCTAAGTGAAGAAAATGAAATGCAGCCAAATGGAAAAGTTTTTAAGAAGGTAAAGAACTTTTATGCCTTTTATGTTATTTTCAAAGAGGAATGTATATCTTGCTTTATCATAAATCAAGCAATTTTAAACACACTGGAGTTCTATTATAGTACTGTGTAACTAATTCTCAGAAAAATACTTATAGCCTTGTATATCATGTCAGGGCATTTTTAGAGTTCCAGATTTTGAACAATATTTTAATTGTTGATTTGAAAAAATATACTAATATTAGAGGTTATCTCACTTTAACAGTTAATTCTTGGGAATTATAAATGGATGAACTATCTTGAAGTAAACCGGAGAGTGAATAATTTTGGTAGTGGACTCACTGCATTGGGACTGAAACCAAAGAACACTGTTGCTATTTTCTGTGAGACCAGGGCCGAATGGATGATTGCAGCACAGACCTGCTTTAAATACAACTTTCCTCGTAAGTGCTTTGTGTTTTTCGAGGTAGAGGGAAGGCTTTCTTACATGTGAAACTTGTTCTAAGGTGTTCCAGGCTGGTGTGACTTAGTGAAAAAGCATTTGCCTAGAATATATGTATCCTTGGGTATATTCCTAGCACCACAAAAACAAAATAAAATTACTTTGAAGCAAAGGACATGTTGTTTTGCTCTTTTATGCATTAATTATGTCCATAAAACAGTATGTAATGTTGTAGCTGAAAGATTTCCAATAATTCCTCTTAAGTTAGGAATATCTAAGGGCTAGTAAGAGAATTGGCAGCTTAATAGGAACAATTAAAATTTTACTTTTCAATTGAAAATTAATTGTACCTGAAAGATTTGGAAGTTGGGGGAATGATTTTTGGAGGTAATACACAAATCAATTAAAAAAAAGAAAAGCTTTGATTAGGATAGTTCAAGTTCATTGCATCACTTTGAGGCCTGTTTCATTTATTCTATTTTCCAGATGATATGACAACTTGAAGTGGCATCAGAGATGTTAGATATAAGTAAAATTAGTTATGTTTCTGATTTGTAAACATTAGATTTTGCTTTTGTGCAAGAAATAATTTTTCAAAATTAAGTCCAGAACAGTGACTTGTTATAATAATTTCTTGTTGAGTGAAATAGATTATTATAGGTTTAGTGTAGGAATCACAGTTTGAGTTTCATAAAACAAAAATACAGTGGTACCTTGGTTCATGAATTTAATTCATTTCACAATTCTGGAAAAGATGGCCATGTTCATGTTTGTGTGGAAAACATGGCTCTAGTCATGTTTGTTACCTGATGTAGAGTATGTAGACAAAACCAAAATTTTGCCACATGTTCCTGTTTGCAAATCAAATTGTTTGCAAACAAAAGAATTAGATCCCACTGTAGATACTATGTAGAACTCCTACATATCCATCACTCAACTTTGCCAATCAGCAGTGGAAAATGGCTGTTGTTAGCCAAATTACTGTTTCTGGTTATCAGCCAAAAGCTAAATTTCCATGTTGCATCTAAGTTTAGATGTCTTTTGATTCAAACTGATTTTTGTTTCAGTTTATATTGTGTTTGTCTGGTGACTCCTAAGGAGTAGTTCTCCTTGGCTCCTCCAGGCAAGGTGTACAAAGTTACCAGTAGGATTTGAAGTTGGACTCACTGAACTAAACTTCTTGAAAGAAATAAGAACATTATTTGTAGCTGGTTTTCTGACTTTGAGAGCTTGAAAGTTTCACGAATTTACCCATTCTTTGGAGCCATGAGCCATAAGTGAGCTCTTACTTGCTGGGCTGGCTATGACCTGAATTTAGAGTTCAGCCAGGAACTGTTGGCCTTAAGCATCTCAGTTCACTGTTTTTGATCGGTTGTGGCACTGCCAGTATTTCTGGATTTCATCAGGTTTTAAAAGAAATATTCCTATGAGTTTATAAGAATTAACTTTCGGGTACCAGCAAGATTTTGAAACATAATTACATACAACTAAATTATAAAATAACTTTTTTTCTATTAGTGTACCTATCAGTAAGGACTGACTTCAAGATATATTTCTAATAACCATTTATCATTTAATGTTTGTGTTTGTTTTTCATTATGTAGTTGTGACTTTATATGCTACACTTGGCAAAGAAGCAGTAGTTCATGGACTAAATGAGTCTGAAGCTTCCTATCTGATTACTAGTGTTGAACTTCTGGAAAGCAAACTTAAGGTTGATATGAAATTTTCTTTTTTTAACTCAAATTTATTTTTAACTAATATATAAAGTATAAAATTGTGCATATTTGGGAGGTCTATGTGTATTTTGATAAATGCATGAATTATGTAATGTTAAATCAGGTTAAACTTACCTGTTTCCTCAAACATTTATTCTTTCTTTATAGTGGAAACTTTCAATATGTTTTCTTTAAGCTTTTTGAAATATGCAATGCATAATTATCCATAGCTGTTCTACTATGCAACAGCACAACAGAACTTCTTGTTCTTATCTGACTGTAACTTAGGACCGATTGGTGGGCTCATGTAGTACTGGTCTTTTTATGCCTACATTATTTCAGTTAACATGATGATTTCTATTCCATCCATATTATTGTAAATTACTGTATTTAATTTTTTATGTCCAAATAACATTCTGCTGTGTACTTATATCATGCGTCTTTATCCGTTTATTCATTGATGGACATTTCAGTTGTTTCCATTTCATAGCCATTGTGCATAGTGTTGCAGTGAATATGGGAGTGCACATGTCTCTTCAATATAGTGATTTCATTTATTTTGAATGTATATCCAGTAGTGGGATTGCTGGATCACGTTGTAAAAATAACAAACTATACATATATATATATATATATATATAAACTCCACACTTGGACACCTTTTCTTCTCACATTTTGAAAACTTTGATATATCATTTTATATCCTTCTATATTGCCTTAATTTTTTTAAAAAACAGAGTCTTTCTATGGACTTCAGGCTGGCCTTGAACTCATAATGTAGCCCAGGCTGGCCTTGAACTTGTGGCAGTCCTCCCAACTCAGCTTCCCAAGTGCTGGGATTTGCATACATGCACCACCATCTCCACCTTAGTTGTCATTTTTAATTCATTTAATTTTTAGTCTTCATTCTAAAGATAGGAATGGTGTGTGCACTATGTTCAAAATCTTGAGGCATTCTGAATTTGTATATATGATTGCCCTACATGGCAAAATTTTCTTTTTAATTTATAACATTGTTCAATGATAGTAACAGATGGTATCCAAAAGTGATCTTTTAATGGCAGGCTTAAATTTAAAAACTGGTTTTCTTTCTGTTCAACAGACAGCATTGTTAGATATCAACTGTGTTAAGCACATTATTTATGTGGATAATAAGACTGTCAGTAAAGCAGAATACCCTGAAGGATTTGAGATTCACAGTATGCAATCAGTAGAAGAGTTGGGATCCAAGCCAGAATACTGTAAGTAAACCAATTAAAATGAATTCAAGATTTGTTACTTTAAAAAAAGATTTGTTACTTTAGCAGTTTAGAGTGAAAAGGCTAATATTATTTGATTTTATAAGTTATTCAATGTTTAAGAACTATCAAGACCCTGCAGGGTTAATATTTTTTCTCTCTTTCTCCCCAAGAAGGTAACACCATTGTGTAAAACTTGCTGAATAATCCTGCTGTGATAAATAGTTAAGACTTTGTGGTTTCTGTTGAACTTTTCTTTTTTCAAAATGTAACATAAAATAACCTTCCAATTTGGATTCATAAAAGGAAAAGATCTCAGATCTTCCATTCAGTTTATGATTTTTTCTAACGCTTAATACTAGTGATCTTAATGCTGGTCAGAGGATGAAAATCTGTTCACCAAATTTGATGATGAAATTTATTCTGCCAGTGTTGTGACAGCTGATATTTCATTTGAAATAAATGAAATGTACCTTGTTAGCAAAGTTTCAATTGGTCATTACACAGAGAGTTGAAGAAATCGATACTCCATTTGAATAATTTTCACAGTACCATGCCATGTGAGATGAGGAAAAGGATTCATTTTGTAGTACAATATGTTGTTTGAACCTCTACTGAGCCACAAATATTTTATCATTAAAGAATGAATATGTATTTATAGCAACTACTGTGTGTTGAAAAATGGCATACAGTCTGCCTGAGATTTTACCCAACCCACCAGCTAAAAAGTGAGCCTGCCAAATTTCTTGGAGACAAAAGACTTTTACGTCAGGAATGAAGGATTGTCTTTTGCTCATGTAGCAGTAATCAGAGTAACAACAACATTTGTGTCATAGGAGAGCAACTATGACACATAGGAGCTTAGGGAACCCAAGTATTTTATTATCTTTATGTTTTGCACAGCAAGTATGCCTGCTCTTTGCTTTGGAGAGACTAACTCTGTATAAAAATCCTTAAAATGATCATCCAGAACAAAGTCAGTCTTGCTGCTTGCAAAATATGTAGAAACACAACAGACCTATGGAAAATTGTCTCTCAACACCAGCTTAACCCTGTATAATTGGAATATACCTGACCAGAAAGTCCTTATTTGTAGGAGTCTGTTGTCAGTTCTATCGATTCACTATCAGTCCTATATCCAAGGCAAAGAGCAGGCATACTGCAGAGCTTTAGACATACTATTTTGAACTCCACATCTGAAAATTTGGAGTTGATATGTCTTAATCTAGTGATTAAGATCCACAATCTGGTTAAACTGACTCATTTAGAGATGAGAAAAATGAGGCCTAAAAGAAGCTCAGGCACTACTCTATCCTCTCAAGTCCTAGAGGAAGGACTATCACACTGCTCAATGTACAGAACTGTGAAGAGGCATGGGCAGAAGGGATTAGACAGAACATTCAGAAAACGGATGAAATTGAGTTTGAAATTATCATTGTAGTTAACTAGAATTTGATAACTTTTTTTTTTGACTATCAATATAGAGAATTTTCTTTAGATTGTTTATCATGCAAAATTGAAATATATTATTATGTAACAGTTTGACTTTTGATCTGAAGAAAATGTGGTTTTTCTATCTTTTAGTGAGTGTTCCTCCAAGTAGACCAACTCCTTCAGACATGGCCATTGTCATGTACACCAGTGGTTCTACTGGCCGCCCTAAGGGAGTGATGATGCATCATAGCAATTTGATAGCTGGAATGACAGGCCAATGTGAGAGAATACCTGGACTTGGGTAAGAGAGAATTGTTCAACATATTGTTACAAACACTGACCTTATGTTAAACATTCTCTAAACTCATTCTATGTTAAATGATAAAGTTATTGATGTTTCTCATTTACAATGCCTTTTCAAGAATAATTAAAATGTTTCTCTTGTTTTAGACCTAAGGACACATATATTGGCTACCTACCTTTAGCTCATGTTTTAGAATTGACTGCTGAGATATCTTGCTTTACCTATGGCTGTAGGATTGGATATTCTTCTCCGCTTACACTGTCTGATCAGGTGACAAACTTTAGTACCTTTGCATGATTATATTAAATTACATTGCTTGGCATATTACTGAAATATGAGATGTTTTAATTCAGTTAAAATGTTCTCTAGGACTTCAAAACTAGCTTTCATGGGCAATATGTAGCTATAGTAAATAACCCTGGGGGTTTGTTAGCATTGTTTCAGTTAAATATTTTAAAATTCTCTTGAAATGAAAATTATTTTCATCTTGTCTTTCTGTAGTGGACTTCTACTCTGGGAGATAAGATAAACAATATAAATACACTGATTCTTTTTGACATAATATTCAAGATCACTGATGGATTCTTTTGTAGGATTTTGGCTGGGATTTCCTCTGAATTTTCTCTAGACCTGTGCTGTCCAATACTGTAGCTGTTAGGCACATCTTTAAATAGAAATTAAGTTTAAATTTTAAAAATTTGGCTTCTCATTTTCTCTAGCCACATTTTAAGTTCTCAGTAGCTGCATGTGACCAGTGGCTGTCAAATTGAACAACAGAAATACTAAACGTTTCCATCTGTGCAGAAAGTTCTTATTGGACAGCCCTGCAGCATCTGAAAGGGTAGCCCTTGCCTTCCTATCCTGAGTTTAGGGTACTCCCTTCTCTCTGTTCTTCATGACAGAAAACGCAACTGTGGTAAGGCTCACTCATGTATTTTTTTGTCTTTGTTTGAGACAGGGTCTTGCTACATGCTGGTCCTGAATTGACTTAGTAGCACAGACTAGCCTCAAATTCATGGCAATCCTCCTGCCTCAGCCTCCGGAGTGCTGGGATTATAGGGATGTGTCACTCATGTATTTTTAAGCACATTCAAAATTATACATTGAATATCTATCGGCCACAATTCTGTTTCTCCTTTGGAATATTTACTGTAAAAGAGCCTCAATCATGTGTAAGGGAAAGAAAGCTACTAAGGTAGCTGTGGGGTTCAGAGTACTTAATGATAATATGAGTAAACATAGGAATGACCTGACTGTATGTGGTTCTGCCACTCCCATTTCTGCAAGGCCAGCAGTTATTTTTCAGATACCCAGGCAACTTCTTTTTGTTTGGGAGTCTGAGGGAGCATGCAGTTGCTAAGAAAACACACCTTTGTTTTTCATGGTTAGAAATTGTAGTACCTTTTGTTTAGGGAGAGGTTAGGTAGGTTGTATATTAGTAAGATAAAAAATAGTGTTTGGATTTGAGATTCCAACCACCTCTGTATTTGGCTTTTTTGCTTTAATGTATAATTTTAAATGCACAAATCATAAGCATAGTGCTTGGTTAAATTTCATATGCATACGTAGACTTCTGATCATTGTCATCTAGATAAAGTAAAAACTGTTTCTAGCACCAGTATCCTCAATGTAGAAAATGAGGAATGCTTGGAATATTTTGCTGGTCTAACTTAATTGTTGCTGTCTGTTAGACCAAGCTCTAATACTCTCAAATCCTGTTAAAGATAACTGGCACTACTTTTTAAATGACCTTTGCTGTAAAGACTGTCAATCTACTAAGAATCTAAAATTCAGGAATTAGAAAAACAGAGGAATCAAAGGCACTACTTTTAAAGGTAACAGATAATAACAGCATTTTCAGAGATTTTCTGTGACCATAGTAAAACAAAAGAACTGATAATACAGGTTGAGCATCCCCAATCAAAAAACCTGGAATCCAAAATACCTCAAAGTTCAAAACTTACTAAAAATTGATAAGACATCACAAGTAAAAAATTTCACACTTGGTCTTATGGATGATTCATAGTCAAAACACAGGAGCACTAGAAATACTCTATAAAATTACCTTCAGACAATGTATAAAAGGTGTTTATGAGACATAGTAAATTTCATGTTTAGACTTGGGTTCCACCCAGAGATAGCTCAGTGTGTAAGTACAAATATTCAGAAGCCTAAAAAAATCCAAAATCTGAAACACTTTTGGTCCCAAATATTTTGAATATGGGACACTCAACCTGTATTACTAAGAGTAATAAAGGAAGCAAGGAAGGTCTCTGTGGCTTGTGCTACCCTGGAGCTACTCTCTACAGTAAAAACTGGTGAATAATACATAAGAGAAAAGCTCCTACTTAAAGGACTTGAGAGTCCACTTTTCCACTGGAGCACCCTCCATCAGAACACTCCTGCACATAGTGTGAATGCATGTGTATAAGATTCTTCTACAAACTGTCTTCTCATTTGCACAGAAATAAAAAAACAAGGAGTTACTTTATCTATTATCCGCAGTAAAGAAAAGTAGGAGATAAACAATTTAGTTCTGCCAGCAGAACCTTCTACATAGCCATGCTGGTGGTTCTTCTGAATCATACTGCTTTTTTTAAAAAATTTCAAAGCAAAATAATAGGAGATTAACAATGGTTAATATATTGCATATTGTTATTGTCAAAGTTGCTCAGATTACAAGATACAAGCATGAAAATTGATCAACCATATAAGCATAAACTGTTGTTTTCAATGAACCAATAGAAAATAGTAGTATAATTGTCTTAGGTATCGTGTGTGTGTGTGTGTGTGTGTGTGTGTGTGTGTATGTGTTCTTTTCCCTTCCTTTTTTTCTCAAAAAGAATTGATCCTCCCACTTCACTTTCCTGAGTAGCTGGGATTATACGCATGCCCTACTGCATCTGCTGATTTTAATTTTTCTACATACTGATTAGGCATTTGAAATTCCAAATATGTAATATATATGTGTGAAAAAACGCATAAAGATAGAAAAGAAGAACTGTATATACACTGTGTGTATGTGTGTGTGTGTGCGTGTGTGCATGCACAAGCCTATCCTTACTTGGCTACTGACAGTGTCCTCCCTGTGCTACCAACTGGAATGTTAATCAAATTAAGATTTCTGTATGATGTTAACTGATGCTTATAGTGACTTTGAGAGATGTCTTTGCCTATTGGATAAATCAAAGAAAGTTAAATAACCTTTGGTTTTATTTTAGTATTAAGTCCATTTTAATTAACTTTATCTGAAAATGAAATCGGTACAAAAATGTACATTTTTTGAAAGTACAGTGTGGGCTGTATTTGATGACATTAATAAGAATTTTTTTATTAAAAGATTTTATTTTCTTGACATCTTGGATCAGAGTTTCTTCTCTAAGTTTGAGACTTCTAGCAAGAAGCTGTAATCTATAGTATACAGCAGTATAGCATTTAGGCTGTGGACTCGCAGATTATGGTAGTTGTAACAGACGGAGCAATAGAACATCAAATTCTGTGTGTAACATATATCTTTGTTATTAATAGTTATGTTTTTCTTAAGTTGATTTCCTTGTGTTTACTTTTTCTTTAACATAGTCTAGCAAAATTAAAAAAGGAAGCAAAGGAGACTGTACTGTACTGAAACCTACACTAATGGCTGCTGTTCCGGTGAGTACAGAATATAAATCTGAACATCAATATTGATAGAAGAGAGTTGCTTACATAATTTCTTGTGTGGAATTTGACTTTTTAAAAAGTAATACTCTTAGGTATATGTATATATTTTAAAGTAATTTTACTTTGTTGAAATCCTTATAGTCTTAGATATATTGGGAAGGATGAATTGACAAGCTTCAGAAATACATCTTTGTGTTTGATGATATGCAAATATTAGGTAATGAAAAGGGCTTCATTCAAATTATCTAATGTGAAACTTGATTGTAATATTTAAGTGTAGACTGTACTCCAAAGATCATCTTTTTTAATCTCTTAATTTTAAAAAATAGCAACCCCTGGCCTCCTAGAGACCTAAGGCAGCATTTCCAAGGTTCTAAAGCCAGTTAGAGAGTGAGTCCAGGATAGAAGGCTCCATAACCTTCTTATAATGCCTAAGGAAAACTGTCCTTTTGGGAGAGATTCCGAAGTAAATAGTTTAATTTTTCATATTCAAAGTCGTTATGTGAATTACTTACTTCCCAAAACATGATTTGGGGCCATGGGTGTAGCTCAGTCGAACACTTGCCTGGCCTATGTAAGGCCTGGGTTCAGTCCCCAGTAGCACACACAAAAAAAGATCTTACATTTTATAGCCTTGTAATGATGAATTTTATAAATTTACTGAAGTGTTTCAAATTTGTATAGTCAAATGTTCTGGTACTGTTACACTTTGAAAACCCCAGGAAGACTATGTATTTCTACTACTTGTCTTATGACTAAAGTTTAAAACCATATCCCACTATTTTCCATAGCATTACTTCTGTACATGGAAGGTCTGAGCTTAGATAATATTATGTTCAGTCCAAATTTTTTTTAATTTTTAAAATATTTTGATTCTAAATATAAAATTACCAAATAAAGAATCAGAATAAGTCAGATTAACTCTACTTTTTTATTTAGAAGAACCATAGCATTCAGCAAGTTTTCAAACTAAAGAGAGAAGCTTCTGACTAAACCCACCATGAAATGATGCTAAAAATAGCTAACACAGTGCTAACTATGTTGTCGTAGACACTACTGGTTTGATCCTACTATCCCAATTTTTTTCCTGAACAGAAGGAAACTTGCCCAAAGTCACACAGTTTATGGGTTGTAGAATCAAATCTTGAACTCTACCAATCTAGTATCAAAGCCTTCTTAATCACTGTTACTATCTATTTAGGATTATTTATGTTTAATTTTGTGAAAGAATGTATTGGCTTTATTGCTCAAAGTTTAGGACTCTTTAGTAAACCTCATCAGAGAATGTATGGAGCAGGAGGGACCAAAATGTCTAGAATATAATATCTGACTTTAGACCTAAAGAATAAGCAGGAGTTAGCAGATAGGCTATTTTTCCTCTAATTTCCCATCATCCATTCTTCACTGCCCTACTTTATGTCTATGAAATACAAGAGATTACTTGCCTTGTAATTTCTGGTTGGATTCAGCCAGTTGGAGCCACTCGTGAAAGGTCAAAGGGTAGGAAGATAGAGATCTGCATATTTATCACCTCCCTGCCTTCCCTATTGAGCTGTGAGTTTAGCAGTTGTCAGTCACCCATTGGATAGGCTCTTTCCTGTTAACTCTAACTAGGTTTTTTTACCATGGCTACAGTCTTTATCCAGATTCCAGTGATGCTTTCTTTCTTTTACTTCTTCATTGCAAATGGTCTTTTGTGTTGCCAGTTCATTGATGCTTCATCAAATCTTTTTGGTTCCATTAGTTCCTCCTACTTCACTACAAATGGATTTTTTTTTGAAAAAAATCAGTGTTTGCAATACATAATGTTTACATTCTTTGCAGGGAGTAGTTGATGCATGTACATAACACATCTTCATTTTTTTTATTTCCTTCTCTCCTTCTCCCTTCTGACTCTTTTTAAAGGAAAGAATCTCTTTATTGAGTTCATTTCTTTCCTGGGTGACAATAATACACACAATGTGAAAATTCAGAATAAATCACTACTTATAAGCAGTAACTTAATTATCATATAATTCCAGTTTAAATGAAGGATGATTGATAAGCTGACAATAAATTATGCCAACTTGTTGCAACTCTATTGTATTTCTTCCTCACTGAGGCCTGTGTTTATTATCAAATGTTGGAAAAAGCAAGGAAAGTGGTTCTCACTCATCTGCTTAACTCCCATATATTTGTTTTTGTATGTGTTTTTTAGGCTCACATAAACTTTTAAGAGGGGTGGTTTAGGATATTAGAGTCCCTCTGGAAAAACATTAAAGTTTCTCAGTTGTGAATAGAAAGAAATATTTTAGTTATAAATTGTGATTCCTTTTGTGGAAATGAAAAAACTTGTACTCTATGAATGCCACGGCAGCCTTTGTAAAGATTGATTCTGTGGACTTCATTTGTGAATGGCTCTATTCTAAAATTGAAAGAACCATCCATAACATTATTCATTATAGTACAACCTTATTTACACTGATGATTGGTTCTTTAAATAATTAGAACCAGGGATTTACAAACAGGTGTAGTTTATGTGACAATTCTTACCAATCTGTATTAAGTAATTTCAATAAAGCATCATTTAGTGATTAGACTATTTGCTTTTGTGTTATATATATTAGTCTGGAAGTTAATATGTTCTAAACCTCATCCTTCATCTGTTTCCAAATAGCTGTGAGCAAGGATTTTGCTCTTCCTTATTATCTTTGATCCCATTAAAAGGGAATAGAAATGTCTAAATTGCGAGGACATAGATTTTTAAATAACCGTAATACTCTCTGCCATGTGTAAGACAGTTAACAAGGTCATATAAATAGTAAAGGGAAAATTATCAGTATTAGATTCAACATAGTTGGGTATTTCATACTGTCTGAGAATAGATGAATTTATTTGCAAGAAGGGAATTTTCAAGAAAATCTTTTTCTGTGAGATCTGAATAAATTTTGTGCATCCTAGTTAACATTTCGTAAAATTTAGATGAACTATTATGTGGAACTAAAGAAACTCCTCTACTTCTATTAATTTTTAAAAATATTTTGCTCTTGATAGAGAAATAATTGTATATACTTATGGAGTACAATACATTGTTTTAATATACAAATCATCCTTAGTCTTCTTGAAGTAGTGAACAAGTAAAGTCCGTGAAGTTAATTCTATAGTGGAAAAGAATGAGTATATCCATTATCCTAGAGATGTCTATCTAATATGTTGTAAATAATTATCTCCAATTAAAGATTATCTCAGTGTATAGATAATTCTTTTAGGATTATTGAATATTTTGTTTACTTTTTAGGAAATCATGGATAGAATTTATAAGAATGTTATGACCAAAGTTCAGGAAATGAATTATATTCAGAAAACTCTGTTTAAGATAGGGTATGATTACAAATTGGAACAGATCAAAAAAGGATATGATGCACCTCTTTGCAATCTGTAAGTACATCTTATAGGCCTTGCCGTTTGAGGATTTTATTATTTATTCATTTTTGGGACAAAGTTTTACTGTGTTATCTAGGCTGGCATAGAACTCCTGGACTCAAGCAATTTTTCTGCCTCAGCCTCCCAGAGCAACTGAGACTATGAATACATAGTGTGCCTATACATTTTTTCATTTTTATAAATCTGGAAGATGAATAAATAAATGAAAAGTTAAATTTAGTTCGAATATTAACCATTGTGATCATAACATTGAATTTCTGTTTTATTCTAAGCCTCATTGTTTATACAGCACACAGAGGACCTTGAACTCTGAATCAATTTTAATCATTAAATATTTATAATTGAATTACGAAAGTTGGTCTCATGAAGATAAGCTAGAATGTTTTAAATCAAGATGGAATTATAAAAGTATCAGAAGGAACTTTAAAAAGTGTGATCTTCAAAATTTATTGTGCATAAAAGTTCCAAATTTATTGTATTCATAATATACCATAGTAAATACATGAATATATCACTTATTTTAAATGTGGTCCTAGGGTACAGATAGCAGTGAAAAAATATTTTTCATTAGAAGAAAGAAGATAAGATAGGTGACTAAAGGTTCCAAAGATAACTGAAGCTTTTTGCTTTGAGATCATCATTTACTTTCATTTACTGTATGTCACAGTGGTTTCCCAATACTGCATTTTGTTTTGTTTTGTTTTCAGTTTTTCTGGCAATTTTTCAAGTTGTTACTAGCAGTGGCTTTGTTAAATTCTCATTACCACCATGTTTCTAAAGTTTATATTTTCAAACAAAGTTGAAAAATCTTTCCCAGAGCTTATAAATTTTGTGTCATCAAGAATAATATATGCATATAATAAATCACATACTTCCCCTCTCATCAAGGTTACTGTTCAAAAAAGTCAAGGCTCTGCTAGGAGGGAATGTCCGTATGATGCTGTCTGGCGGGGCTCCGCTGTCTCCTCAAACACACCGGTTCATGAATGTCTGCTTCTGCTGTCCCATTGGCCAGGGCTATGGGCTGACAGAATCATGTGGTGCTGGGACAGTTACTGAAGGTAAGCACTGGAAATGTGACACATAGGTATTTACTAATCCATTTACATTACCTTTGAAAGCCGTGATTTCTCTTTTTCTCATTTCTCCCCTCTCTCGTTTTTTCTTTTCACAGCACTGCGGATTGAACTCAGGAGCACTGAGCTACCACCCCAGCCCTTTTTAATTGTGTGTGTGTGTGTGTGTGTGTGTGTGTGTGTGTGTGTGTGTATTTTTTTTAAGAATCTCACAAAAGTGGCCTTAAGCTAGCAATCCTGCCTCACCCTTCCAAGTAGTGGGAATTACGGGCATGTTCCACCACACCCCGCTTGGAAATCATGATTCCTTTATAATGCCTCTTAAGTAATACCAAATTATGCAAACTTACATAGTTTTATGAATGCTTACTTGTAAACCTTGTAAATATTTATGCCACATTATCAGTCCTCAAAATTCTATCACCCTGGTCCTTTAGCTTTTCTCTAAATGACCTCAGAGAACTGTATTGTTAGGAAGAAGTACCATTTTTATGCCCCTCTTGAGTGTATGTTCCTGTCGTGACTTCTTTGCTTCCTCTTCTGCTATTTGCAGGAAGCATTTCTTCACCTTAGCACTATTCACATTTGGAACCAAATAATTCTTTGTTATTGCATGCTCAAATAATTCTTTTCTTGTTCAAATTATTATTTGTTGTGCATTGAAGGATGATTAGCACTCAGATAGTAATAGTAACCCGCTCACCCCAGCTGTGTAATAAAACTTGTCTCCAAACATTGCCACATCACCCCAGATTGAAAAACATGGGTATACAAATTTTTTTAATGATCTCACTATCTCTTTAAACTCATTATGCCCAAAATCAGTGCCCTTTTTGTAGACTATCTCCCCATTTCCAAATTACTTACTTGTGTCATTAGTATCATCATGCTTAAGGTCATTCAGGGTATTGTCTTTGAAGTCTTTCAGATCTTCCCATTCCTTTATTAGGTTGTGCCATTCTTTCCATGCCAATTTTTTCATCCAACTTGTTATTACTTAAACTTCTCTGAAGTGACAGCTCTCAACATCTGCTTGCCTGTGTTATATTAGATCTAACTCATATACTTTTATTAGACACGTCTACCTCACCATGCTTGACAGATGCTATAGAAAATCTAAACACACCTTTACCTAGCTTTCAGGATGTCTTTAATCTGGCACCATTGCACCTATTCATTATTATTTGCCACCTATAGGCATATCTGGCTCTTTTGTCCTGACAAGCCAGTTGTGGCTTCCTCACACAAAGATGTTTGATCTCACTTAACTGTGGAATCTGTTTCCTTCCCTTGGAATGCCCTTTTTGTAAACTGGTCAGAGCCATCCTTTCCCACAAACACCTTAAAGTAATATTTCACAACAATTGCAATTTATATTGATACTTTAAGCCTTTAGATATTATTGTAATTGCCATAGTATTTAGAAGTTCTCCAAATTGTTTCAAATGCATTTCTTGCTAGCTAAAACTGTATAGGTAACTGAAGGATGTGTTTTCATCATACTATTTAACACAGTGCTAGGTACTTAATAAGGTGTCTGTGGATATGTGATTATTGTGAACAGTAATCAAAAAATGCAAAGGAATCGAATCATCATTATTTACTAAACATTTAGTTTGTTCTAAAAAGTGTTAATTGCATATCATCTCATTTAACCCCCATAATGTATCCCTATAATGAGGGTTCTATTACACTCCTCTTTTAGTAGAAGAAATACAGGTTTAGGGAAGAAGTTAAGTGACTTGTCCAAGTTACACAGCCAATAAGTGATAGAGCAGGAATTCTCACCAAAATTTCTTTCACGAAAATCTTAGATAGTGGAGCCAGCCTCCCCCATAACAAAAGATTTTATATTGGATTATCTAAAATATAACCCTGAAGAGCAAAAATCCACTGTTGAAATGGAGTTGATAGACTGAAAAATGATTACTCTTCGCACTTCTTCCGTTACAGCCTCTTTTCTTTCAGACTCTGGCTCAAAATCCAGTGTTCCTGGCATCTCTGTGTGTACAACTGAAATGCAGCTTGCTAATATCTCTGTTCCTTTTTACCTCATAGTTACTGACTATACTACTGGCAGAGTTGGAGCGCCTCTTATTTGCTGTGAAATTAAACTAAAAGACTGGCAGGAAGGTAAGAATTTGATGACAAGCTCTAGTGATTCCAGATTCAGAAAAAAATCACTATGAGCCTTAAGACTTTATTTTTTAAAAATGTTAGGTTGTCTCTTGTAGCAAGTGGTTCTTTGTAGTTGCCCATCCTTTCTTGTTTCTTAATGCATTTAAGTTTTCAAGAGGAAAGAAAAAGTCTCAAGATTCCATACCAGGTGCTTCCCAACTTAGAAATACTTGATGGTAAAGCAGAAAAACATTCTTAGTGGGGCTTTCCCTGGGTTTAGAGAAGGTGAGGATTCTTTGAAGCCTAAGATTGTCAGTGAGGATTCGGGACTCAGAAATCTCAAATTTTTAGGGAGTAGAATGTTTATATACATACATATATTGTACTAACATCTTAGATCTTGACCACAGAAGAGATTTTCATAATTAAGACTCACCTGTCCAGCTTGTTGTATAGTTGAATTTTTACCTATCCCTACAGGGGGAAGCCATTTAGAGGAAACCTATACTACAGAGGTTGGTTGATAATCTTTTCTATAAAATGTGCTGGACACAAGAATAAAAGTCTTTCTATGATAAACATAATGAAAGACACTAAATGAACATTAATTGCAGTACAGTAGATTACTAAATCACCAAACAATTAACAACTTAGTCATGCCAGGTAAACAAAGAGTAATTTAAAGCCTTAAACTAAAAAAGGATGTTTACTTTGCCATGGAGCCACAGACTGAAGTTTAAAGGAGTAATAGTTGATGCTTCCATTAGGTTGACCAGGAAAATGATGAGCTTAATCTAATATATTTCAAGTTTCTAAAACTGTTTCACCTGTATGAATTTCTTATAATATGAAATATTGTCACTTTTCTATAAGGAAATAACTGTTTCTTTTTGAAAATTAATTTTTTATTGATAGAATCTTACTATGTTGCACAGGCTGATCTTGAGTTAGTTAGCCAAGTGCATCCCAAGAGTTTTACACTTTGAGAATATGACTTCTTTAATTCTAACTAAGGTGAGGTAATTTCAAATTTGCAATGAGAATCTGAAGAAAATATAGATAGTATATGTATATGTGTATTGGGCATCAGCTTCAGAATTTCATTGGATAGGTTATTGATTAGGCACTGAAATCAGACACATGTGTATAGTAAAATTGCATAAGGAGAACTTTGACTTTAGTTTTTATTTTCTGAATCCTTGGTGTTTGCTTCGATATCAAGTTTGTGGAGATTTGTATTTGAACATGTATTTTGAGTTTCCCTTGCTACAGAGAATAGGAATGAACAATGTTTTGTGTACAGTTTTATCAGAATAAATTTTGTCATATGGAATAATAGTTTTTAAACTAGACCAGCTTATAGCTGAACAAAACCCTTTTAATCCTTTCATAGCATAAAAACTAATCAAGATCTGTTTATAAATTCAAAGTATTGTATAATTTCCTTTAAAATAAACTTTATTTAGTAATAAAGTGTTACTGATTAGTAATAAAATATTTTAGCAGTTATTGTCAGTTCTTTTTTGTCTTAATGTTTAAAGTCATGACTGGCCAGAAGCAAAATTAATAAAATTTTCCCTGTTTCCCATAACTTCCCTTTCCCTCTTGGTCAATGGCATTACTTTACTTAGGTACTCACTACATGTTCTTTTTTGCTGAAATCTCCTTTGAAAAATTCTGAAATGCATTGATAACAACTTTTTAGTGATTTACTTATAATAGCTTTAAGTATTAATCTTGTTGGAGTGATTTTATTTTGACAGAGCTCTATGAGCCTCAAACTTTAATCATATTCTAGGTGTGAAGCTTTATGTGATAGGGAAGTTTGAGATAGGAGATTGTTTTTGAGCCTTCTCTTATGCTCTTAAAATCATAATCATTCATTATCCTCATGTAAAGCTGATTAAATATAAGCTAATAATATTCCCTCATAAAAAGTATGATAAACTTGATCAACAGGAAGATATTAACAAAGGAGCTTTAAGAATTAGTGAAAGTAATTTTTGTTTTAGAGTAGCTGATTTGCTTTTATGATTTCCAGGTGGTTATACAGTTCATGATAAGCCAAACCCCAGAGGTGAAATTGTAATTGGTGGGCAGAATATTTCCATGGGATATTTTAAAAATGAAGAAAAAACAGCAGAGGATTATTCTGTGGATGAAAATGGACAAAGGTGGTTTTGCACTGGTGATATTGGAGAATTCCATCCTGATGGATGTTTACAGATTATAGGTTAGTATCTCCTCTTTTATGTGACTTTCTTTAGATTATGTAATTTTAATATATGGATGATAATATTGGTCAGAACAATAGTAGGGTTAATGATTCATTGGTTCAAATTTTAAGTAAGTTATTTAACTTACATCTGAACTTCTCCATCTGTAAAATAAGGACAAGAATACTAATCTTATATGGTAGCTATTAGCATTAAATTAATTAATTAATATATGTAAATTATCCATAGAAGTACCTGAACTTTAGTAAGTAGTAACAATAATAGCAGAAGTATTGAGAGGAAAGGAAAAGGGATGGGGAAACAGCTTGGTAATGAAAAAATAAAACATTGTTTAGATGAGATTTTTTTGTCAACTACATGTGGTTCTGTATAACTATTTACTATGACATACTCTATTCTAGCCCTTCCTTCCCCACTCAAGAATAGCATGGGTTCATTTTTTTTCCTGTTGGCCATTGCTAGTGCTGAACCATAGAAAATACTGATAGCAATCTCTTGTATCATTTTTTTCTGAGAATATCAGTTGTTTTGACATTGCCCTTAGCTTATTGAGGTAGGCTTTTACACTCAAACATCAACTCCAAAGATGACTCCATATGGAATATTCTGTTCATTTTAATCAGGCAAAAGTTAAAAATCAACTAGCTGATAAAGACCATTCTGCAGAGTACTACTCTGGTCTTTTTTAAGCCATAGAGTTCCTTAAATAATAGCTGTAGTACCCATCTTTATGTATTGCCAGCCTTTATAATACTTGACCTGAATAAAGTTAGAGGTTTCCAGGGAAAATTAATTCTGTATCTAGAATTTTAATCTACTATGGAGATTCTCAGAAAATATGGTACAACTGAGAACCAGTAACTGTTTTTTCTCTTTGATTCTTAATTGCACTAAAATCAGATTTTTCCTAAAGTAGGCTCCTGGGCTTTGGGTAGGAAAATCATGACCCATATGAAGACAGTTAGTTAAGTTGATGATTATTCAAGGTGGGTCACTCTGTGCCCATATTCTTATATTCTTACTTATATTTTTTCTTTTTTCCCATGGTCCTCAGGATTGATTCCAGGACCTTTGCATGTTTTAGTTTTGAGACAGGGTCTCACTAAGTGGCCCAGGTGAGACTCAAATTTGAAATTTTCCTGTCCTAGCCTCCCAAAGTGCTGGAATTTTTATTGCAACATTTTGTTTGATAATATCAAATATGGGGAAATAGGAGTTAACATTTATTGAGTGTGCTCTATGCAGCAGATTGTATGATATGCCTGTATGAATTAGGCATCATTTTCCCTAATAATAGAGTGGTGAGAGAAGTTAACTGACATAGCTAAGACCATATGGTAGTGTCAGGCAGAATTATCATTGAAATGTATTGTTCCAAAGTCTTGGTTTCTCCATTAATTTCATTGCATTATTTAATATTATGATAAGATATTTAAGCTTTGCATATAATATATAGCTTTTAGCTAGTAATAATTTAACTGGGCATTTTCTTTTTAACTGATATGTATAAACAAGCATTTTGTATCACAAGATTCTAGAAGAAGTATCTTTGTAAACATTAAAACAATGAAATGCAAAGGAAATCAGATTTCTGTATATATTAATGAAACACACTATGGGTAACTTAACATTCTTCATGACTACAGATCGTAAGAAAGATCTGGTGAAGTTGCAAGCAGGAGAATATGTGTCTCTTGGGAAAGTAGAAGCCGCACTGAAGAACTGTCCACTTATTGACAATATCTGTGCTTTTGCCAAAAGGTAACTTTCAGTATATTTCAAAAATTATTTCATGTGTATGCAGTACAAGGGAAATTAGAAACAAATTTGATTATATATAATCATGAGGATACCATCACTATTCTTAGAAATTTCGTTAGAGTTGGAAAATCATACAGAACTAAAACTCAGTACTTATTAAATACCTCTCCATTTCCCCTTCCCTCAGCATCTGATAGTCATCGTTCTGCTCTGTATTTCTAAGAATTTAACTACTCTAGATATCTTATATAAGAAGAAACATTTGGTATTTGTCTTCTTGTAACTGACTTATTTTACTTAGCATACATAATGTCCTTCAGGTTGTCAATGTAGCATGCATCAGAATTTCTTTCCTTAAAAATTGAGTAATGTTCCAGAGCATGTATATCACACTGTATTTATTCATTTATCTGTCACACTAGGGATTGTTTCTTCCTCTTGACTTTTGTGAACAGTGCTATAATAAACATGGGTATGCAAATATCCCTTTAAGATTCTGCTTTCAGTTCTTTTAGATATATACCCATGATAAAATTGCTAAATCGTATAGTAATTCTATTTTTAATTTTTCAGGGAGCTGCCATACTGTTTTCCATAGTGGCAGCATCATATTTACATTTCCACAAACAATGCCCAGGTGTTCTAATATCTCTACCCCCCCCAACATTTGTTTACATGTTTTGAAGGTAGTAGTCACCCTAATTCTAAGTGGTGTGAATCTCTCATCCTGGTTTTGATTTGCGTTTATGCTTTTGAACATCTTTTCATATGATTGTTGACTATTTGTACGTCATTCCTAGGGAAAATGTCTATTCAAATTTTCAAAATTTTTGCCTTTTGGAAGGGGGATGGTACTGGGGATTCAACCTAGAGCCTTCACAGTGAACTACATCCTTGGCCATTTTTTATTTTAAGAAAGTCTCCCTAAGTCTCTTAACTTGACAAGGCTGGGATCAAACTTACAATCCTCCTATCTGAGCTTCCTAGAATGCTGGGATTACAGTAGTGTGTCACCACACTTGGCTTCTTTGCCTGGTTTACTATTTGGGGATTTTGTTCTTGAGTTATATTTCATTATCTATTCTATAATATTTTGTCAGATATGTTACTTGCAAATCTTTTCACAGTACTTTGCAGTTTTTACCCAGCTTTTTGTGTTCTTTAAAGTACAAACAGTTTTAATTTTAAAGTACTCTCATTTATCAATTTTTGCTTTTCCTTGCCTGTGTTTTTGGTGTCATATCTAAGAGAATTTGCCAAATCTATTATTGTGAAACATTTTCTATATGTTTTCTTCTAGGAGTTTTATAAATGTTTAGATGTTTGATTCACTTTGATTTTGTTTTTATACATGTAAAGGTCCTCCTTGGTGTTTGCATGTAGATACTCAGTTTTTGCAGCACCATATGTCAAAGAAATTAGCCTTTTACTACTTGCTGAAAATCATTTGAGTTTGACTTTCCTAGTCCATTGGTATATTTGTCTGTTTTTATGTCAGGGCTATGAGTTTTCTTTCTTTATGTTGCAACCTTAATAAATAAGAAAAATTTGTGTTTGGAATTATCTGTAGTATATTGTTTAATTAAACAATTTAGCTCAGTGTATTAATTTCTATTTTATTTTCTAATACTTTAGTGACCAGTCCTATGTGATCAGTTTTGTGGTTCCTAATCAGAAAAAGTTGACCCTTTTGGCACAACAGAAGGGGGTAGAAGGAACTTGGGTTGATATCTGTAATAACCCTGCTATGGAGGCTGAAATACTGAGGGAAATTCGAGAAGCTGCAAATGCCAGTAAGTAAGAAATTTAGTTCGTTGAAAGTCCATAAAATCATTTAATAATATCTCATGGATTACACTGTTCAAGACATTTGTTTTACTAAGACAATATAAAATTAAAAAACCAAAAAGTTATTTATATATATATATATATATATATATATATATATATATATGATTTCCATTCAGGAAGGATCTTTAATAAATGTCATATAGAAGAGTCTAGTGCATATTATAACATCCCTGTCAGGTATTTTATCTAGCCCATGTCTGGAACACTTCATCTTTAAAGAGATGTGTTATGTAGATCTACCTTATGTGTATAAAAAAGAAATTGACAGCACTTTAGCAAATGTCATAGTTATAACTCTGCCTTGTGTGTATTCCTTGGCTCTTTAAATAGACTGTCTCTAATGCTCATTAGTAAACAAATGGAGGACATCTGAGTATGTACTGTAATGCCAGGCTCTGCATCTTAGGCATCAGGAACATAAACGTTAGTAAGACATTTCTGGCTCTCATTATCCAGTGAGAGGGACATTTGAGAGTGACAGTAGATTTGATAGCAATAGAAATACAATTAGAGAATCATGGGACCACAGATGAGGGTACCTAATCCTGCTTAGGAGGTCATCAAAGGTTTTCCATAACATTATTGTGGATTCTAGGCCAAATAACAGCATGAATGGGCCCAGAGTACAAAAAAGGAAGTACATATATCCAGGGAACAACAAGACATTTAGTGTTACCTGGTAAAGTAAAAGATAAGGCTATAGAGATAAACAGAGGCCCAGTCATGTTGGGCTCTATATGACAATTTTATGAAAGTTAGACTTAATCCTTTAAGCAGTGAGCAGCCACTGTGAGGTTTTATCAGTTAGTTATATGGTCAGATTTGTATTTCTGGTAGATCCATTTGAGGGGCATTACAGTTTAAGAGAGCTGTTGTGTATACTTAAATGAGGTTGGGAGAGATGAGGTCCTAAACTAGGGACTCGGGAAACACTTTTGAAGCAAAATTGGCAAGGTTTTGAGTGCTTGTGTAATACAGGTACGAAAGAAATGTGTCTAAGTTGGCCCCTATGTTTGTAGCTCAAGCAAGGTAGCTGTTACTACTTACTGATCACGTTCAAAAGTACAGGAGGAGAAGACAGAGAAGGTGATAAGGTCAGTTTGGTATGTATGTAGTTAGAGATGCCAGTTGGATAATCACAATTAAAATGTCCAGAATGTAGTTGTGCATGTTAGTCCATACCTCATGAGAGAGGTCTGTATTTTACTGTAGATTTGAAAGTAGAGGGGCAGGCCTTGAAGGAGAATGTAAAAGAACAGGAGGCTGAAGATGGGTCCTTGCAAAATATCAGCATTTACAAGTTGATGAGGCTGAAGAGATGTGTGTAGAAGGTGTGCTAGACAAGGTTGCCAAAGTGAAAAGATAGTGCAGAGTCTTGCTGAGACAACTTCAGCAAAAAGAATGATCACACAGTTTCAAATTAGCAGGTGGTTGGACAAAACTTAACAGAACATTGATTGACAAATTGAATAGATTATACAGTAACTCTGAAACCAAACAGTACGCCAGTTGTATAACATTTTAAACTCAAGTTTCATTTTTTGTCACTGCAATAATTAGTGTATACATGTTTTTATAATAGCACATAATATTACAAGACTTGCATGGAACAGCAGCCCTCAATATTGTTTTCTTCTTCATCCTTAAGTCCTATCCCCCTTCAACCTTCGTTGTTTTATAATGTATGGCATCTGTCTCTATCTAAAGAAAAAAATTTTATCGCTGTTTTTTGTTTTACCTCTTCACTTTAGATGTTATCTATAGACTTCCTATTGTGAATGATAATGTAGCTTTTTTATGTCCACTCCCCATATACATCCTTACATTTATAACACATAATACAGTTTCATGTTTTACATACATGTTTCCATTATTAGGAATATGCATTGGAGCACTCAGTCTTTAGTAAAAAAAAAAAAAAAGAAATATGCAAATATTCACAGTCAAACTATATGTTGTTTTAGTATTACATTTCTTTTATTTCCCAACTTTTTGCTTTTTGTTAGTTTTTTTTGTATACTTATTAAAAACTTCCCCTAAATTCAGATAAAGTTATACAAATGTTCTGAAATACAGGAATGTATATTTTCTATGTATTTCTTTTCTTGGCAACATCCCTCTTAGAGCCCTCATCTTCCTGCTGAAATTTAGGTTTTTTGTACCTCAGGGATTCCCTGTACTGTCTTCATGGGAATTTCCTTTGCTTTTCTCCATTTGGGATCTGGTTCCCTAGATCTCACATCTGTCATTTTTCTGGTTCACTCATTTGATAGAGCACATCTTTGAGCAGTTTCTTGAGAGAGAGGTGCATAGGAAAATTTTTGAGATGTGCTTACACAGTATATTTGAATATGTCTTTATTGTGTCCTTGTCGTTGAGGCAGTTTGGTGTATTTTAGAATTCTAGGTTGTAAATAATTTCTCCTTAATATTTTACAGTTGTGGCTACATTGTCTTTTAAATTCAGTGTTGTTGCCTGGAAAGTCTAGTTCTATCTGTATTTTCTTTGTGTACGAACTCTTTTTACTCATACCTCTCTCAAAGCTGTTGGAGTTATTTTCTTAATTTATGGTGTTAGGAGAATTCATAATATGTCCCTCATGGTAGGCATTTTTATCATTTATAATTATGTAGACTTTGAGTGGATTCTTTCATTCTGGAGATCTCTGTCCTTTAGTTCTGGGAGATACTTATCTTTGCTTTTTTTCCTTCATAGACCTCCTCTACCCCAGATTCTCATTGTAATTGTTACTGTCATTGTCATTCATTCTGTCTCTCCCTCTGTCTCCTCTCTCTCCCCTGTCTTTCGCCTTCTGTGTGTGTGTGTTTATATAACCACTTTGGGTGGGGGTTTGTACTGGGGATTGAGTCCAGGTACACCCTTAGCCTATTTATATATTCATTCAGACAGACAAGGTCTTACTAAGGCACCTAGGCTGGACTCAAATTTGTAATACTTTTGCCTCAGCCTCCCATACTTTGGGCTTGGACCTGGTTGGAACTACTTTTGTATAACTTTTGGATCATCCATTTTCATCCTCTAATTTTATGGCCTTTTTCTTTTTGTTTGCTATGTCCTTCTCCTTTTGTTTCATATTCTGATAGAGTCCCTTAACCTTATCGTCTCATCTATTGAATGCCTAATTTCCACTATCAGAATATCAGTATTTAAGAACTCATTTTATATTTTTATTTATTTACTTTTTGTTTTATGGAAAAACCAAAAGTTTTATAACAAAAATAATAGGAAAGTAACAATAGTTAATATATATTGTGTTGCTATCTTTAAAGTACTCAAAGTATAAGATAATGGGCTTAAAAATTCTCCATTTATATTAGCACAAACTTTCCCTTTCAATGAACTAAGGACACTAATAGTATAATTAACTTGCATTTTGTCCTTTTCTTTTCCTTCCTTGTCCCTTTCCCCCATACTAGTTCCTTTTTCCTTTTGAAAAATTTCTTCCCATTTCACAGTATCTACTGTATGTTTTAGGCCTTATTTACTCTTTCAGTTTCTAACCTCAGGGAGACAATACAATATTTACACATGTAAGTCTGATTTATAAGAGCTCATTTTTGTCTTCCCAAGATAGTGTTGTTTTAGTATTCTTTGTATACTTTAATATTAATATCACCAGGCTCCCAGAACTTTCTTTGGTACAAATCCTATTTTGTAATAGAATAGCTATTGGAGATGAACTGCAGTTACTCCTTGTCACTTTCTAAATGTTCTAGTGGAGTCAAATGTTACTTGAATAATTGCCACTGCATATTTAAATGTGTAAAGCCAATGATGGAAAAAGTTAAGCTGCATTGCAATTAAGTGGAAAACAGAATAAAAATCCTAGGGCCCACTAGACCCCTATAACTTTCATGCTCTGGGAGTGAGGCCTATAATTAAACAATTTATGATACGGGTATTGAATTATAATCGTGAGCTATGTACATACACCATAAACATTTCTGTGCCACAAAAGTTTTATCTTGCCAAACTTTTGCTTCAAATTGTAATTTAAGACACTTATGCAAAACACTGTAACATAGTTGGATTGTTGTCAACAAATCTGTCTAAAATTATACATATTTCCTTGCAGGCCTCGGCGTTTAAATGTAAGCATGAGATATAGGTAATAAATATCACAAGACTATAAAGTAATTGTTTTGAATAAATTGAGCACCTACCAGTGGTTATAAAATTGATCTTTAATGCTGCCTGCTGGTCTCATTTCATAATAAGTTAATTCAGAAACATTGTTTTGTTTTTCTTTCCCCTAACCTTTCATCTTTCTCTCTTGTTGGCAATTATTTTATTCTGTTTACAGAAAACTGTTATTTTCCATTGCTTCTTGTAGTGTATGTCACTAAATAATGTAGTCTTTTATAAAACCAACACTACTACAAAAACAAGAATCTCTCTGAATTTCTTTGTGCTTAGCTTTGAAACCAAATTGCTCCTAGTCATCTAGTCTGTTTTGCAGCAGTTTTTTTTAAAGAGAATAAAATGAAACAAAACAGAATAAAGCAAATCAGAATAGAACAATGCAAACAATACAAGACAACAAGAAATCAACAGTGGCTAACATAATGTGTCATTTTCTTCAAAATACCTGTCCATATCTTTGCACATAATAAAATCAAACAAAACAAAGTAGAATAAAACCAATTAATACAAAAGAATAAAAGCATTACACAACTTCAAAACAAGATAATAAGAAATCAACAATGGTTACTGTAATATATCCCTTTGTCTTTAAAATAGCTGTCCATGCCATCATACATAGTACAAGTTAACAAAACAAAACAAGAATAAAATCAAGCCTGAGGCTGGGGATTTAGCTCAATGGCATAAGGGCCTGCCTTGCAAGCACGCAGTCCTGAATTTGATCCCCGGTACTGATTTAAAAAAAAAACAAGCCTAACAAAATTATGATACAAGAATTCAAAACAGGATAATAGGAAATTAACACTTTCCCTTTTTTAGGTGTTCCCTCCCCTATCATTTTCATAATAGCCGTTGTGCATTTTGGATTCAACTCAGTTTTTTATGCTAGGTAGATAACTTGGTGTTCACCTATATGAATCCAAACCATTTCACTCATGAGCACGATCTCCAGTTGCATCCATTTACTTTCAAAAGGCTTGAGATTATCCTACTTTACAGCTGGGTAGCTTTCCATTGTATGAAAATACCATACCTTTCTTATCCATTCTCTGGTTAATGGGCAAGTAACCCTTGCTTTTTTCTGGGCTCCTGTCACATGGAATAATTTTTTCTCTCCTTTGATTTTCAGTATGAATTTTCTTTTGAGTTAAATGTGTTTCTTGTATACAGTACCATTGATGGATCTTGTTTCTTGATTCACTTTCCCTGTGTTTCTTTTTATTGGTGAATTGAAGCCATCTACATTAATGGTTACAACTGGCATGCATTGGTTCATCTCTGCCACTCCATCCTCCTACTGTTGGCCTTCAACTTTTCCCTTGCATTCAATTGCCTGTCCTGTTTGGCAATCCTACTCTGCTGCTATTCCTGGAACCATGGTCGTATTTATTTCTCTCTGGAATATCCTTCAGGACTCTCTGAGGGTTGGGTTGGTGGTCATGAATTTCTTCTGTCGTTCTTTATCATTAAAGTATCTTATTTTTCCATCAATTTTGAAAGATAATTTTGCAGAGTATATCAATCTGGGGTGGAAGTTGTTGTTTTTCAGGAGTGGAAACATTTCACTCTAAGATCTTAACATGATGGTTTATGTTGACAAGTTTGCTGTGATTCTGATGGATTTTCCTTTATAGGTGATCTGTTCTCTCTAATAGCTTTTAATATTCTGTTCTTGTGCTAAATTTCTGGGATCTTTTTTATATGTCTAGGTGTAGATTTATTTTGGTTATGGCTAGTGGAGTTGTATATGCCTCACTTATCTGCATGCCTGATCCTTTTTGCATGTTTGGAGTTTTCTGCTATTACTTCTGTATATAGACTTTTTTTGTCATTTGATGATCCCTACTTTTTTGCTGAGACCCATCACTCTTAAATTACTTTTCTTTGTGTCATCTTGCAGCTGTTCAATTCTTATTTCCTGATTCCTTGTTATTTATAACAGTTCTTTCCTTTCGTGATCACTAGCTGTGATCTTGTCTTCAAGGTTTGAAAGTCTTAACTTCAGTCTCTTTTTAAGTGGTTTTGCCAGGTTTTGATTGAATTTTAATTTCCTGGATATCTCTTTGAGTCTGTTTCATTAATTGTCATACTTTCCTATATTGTTCATTCAAGGTTTCTATCATTTTCCTATGCGCCTCTTTTTTATTTGTGTCTTTAGACATGCTCAGCAATTCTTTCATTGTTTGTGATTTCTTCTTTTACATGAGACATTATTTCTGTTTTGATTACTTTTACAGTCTCATGAAGTTGTTTCTTTACTTCAGTAGCTGTCCTCTCAGAGGTTTCAGGTTTGTGACTTCCATTTTCTTCCATGACTATATCTCCCTGACTTGTTCTGTGTGGGCTGGAGGTCTGAGTTGCCTTTTGCTCCTTCGTCTTGACATTCTCCTGGGTTCCTCCCAACAAGCCAGCTGTGGGGTCCCAGGCACTTCCCACATTGACTGCCCCTCCACAGTGTAGGTGAATGGGACAGGCACTTGGGTTTCTCTGAAAGCAGGTTCCCAAGGAGGTAGGGTATAAGGCAGGCTTATCCAGATGCATGCAACTCCCCAATGGCCAGTGGTGCCTGGTGGTGGGACTGCTTCTCTCAGTCTGTGTGTCTACACTGAGACCCCCCCCCAATGGCAGCAGGCTCACAGGAGTGTGTTTGTCTGATTCTGCCAGTGGGCCATGGCTGCCAAAAGGAAGCAAGGTTCTCCAATGGTGGCCTGTGGGTGTACAGGGTTTATATGGCTACATCTTCCTGCCTGTGCTGGCTACCCACAGGAAGCAAGCTTTCAGATGGTGGCAGTGGTGCACAGGAGCAAATCTGGTTTTTTAAAAGCATGCAGATGTTTGCTTCTGTACCATTACTATTTTAAATACTTGCATATAACACCTGTCCATAGATTAAAATTACTATTAATAGATCTTCAAAATTTTAAAGATGACTTCGTATTAATAATAAATGACTTGGTAGAATATAATGTAAGAATTAAGATATAAGAATTAAGCTAAGATAATTGAATACTGTATTGATTACTTCTAGGTCCTTATATTTTTACACTGATAATATGTGTTGAATTGTCTCATGTACAAAATGTACTGTATCAGTTCTTAAACCACTGCAATGGAATTGAAATATATGATCCTCTTTATAGTCTGTATTTTAGTTTATGATGCAGTTTACGAAGAATATATGTTTAGAGATGTAATTTTCTGCAGAATGAATTAATAAACTTGATGTGTTTATTGATGACTCTCAATGTAGCCCTATGAATGGCAGTGAAAAAAAACAAGGCCTTCCTTGTTTTCATGGAGTTTGCATTCTAATAGGTGAGACAGATATATACAGTATGGTAATATGTTGACTGGGAGATAAGTAACATGAAACAAGCGTAGCATAAGAGGATGCACAGAGACAAGAGGACTTCTCTTTTGTTACAAGTGGCCAGGAAAATCGTGTCTTATGAGGCAGCATTTGAGCAGATACTTGAATAAACTAAGGAAATTATCCGTGTGGCTCTATTGGATAAGACAGTCAGACAAAACAACAAATTTAAAGACTGAAGAGGAAGGTGCTATGTATGAGTATATGTGTTTCTGTGTGATATAACTAAACACTACATAGACTAAACCTCTCCAACTGAAATAACTTATGTATACTTTAAGAAATACAAAATCAAATTATAAGAAACTGGTATTGGGGCTGGGGATTTAGCTCAGCTGCATAAGCGCCTGCCTGGCAAGTGCAAGGTTGTGAGTTCGATCCCTGGTACCAAAAAAAGTCGTATTAGTTATAATTATCACATTTTTAATTAAACAAGTTTATCTCCTCACAGACATCATCTAGGTAAAACTGTGCAAAATGTATGTTTTGTTGTTTTTTTCTCTGCTTTGTTTTCCCCATCTTTCTCCCTATCTCACTTTCTCTGTATCTCCCCTTTTCATTTCAGTGAAATTGGAGCGATTTGAAATTCCAATCAAAGTTCGCTTAAGCCCGGAGCCATGGACCCCTGAAACTGGTTTGGTAACTGATGCTTTCAAACTGAAAAGGAAGGAACTGAAGAATCATTACCTCAAAGACATTGAACGAATGTATGGGGGCAAATAAAATACTGTTCTCTTATTCACAGTTGCAGGGAAGGTGGCCTGATAGTTTTTCTGTTCTAGAGTTTTTAAGTTTTTAATTGAACTGTCTGTTAGAATGTAAAGTGAATCATTCTAAAAACATGGTAATTAAAACAAAAAATCAAAACTAATTAACATAGTTGTTGAATCTGCTTTAACTTAGTTTTGCTTAGTTCTAGTGAAGCTGACATTGAAAAGTTATTTCCCTTTAGTTGTGTTAATTCTAGAGCAGAAACTGTTTTTAAAAATTAGCCTAAGATACATGTTTTCATAAAGAAAAATAATGTTTAACAATAAATTGGAGTTGAAGTAAATGTAGTTTGAGGAAATTTGCAGCTCCCAATGTCTTCCTAGTTCAGAAGTTTTAAATATTAAGCATGACAAAATATATGTATTAACACTACTCAAAACAGAAGTGCTTCAGGGCTTTAAATTTTTCTTTTAACCAGTTACCGGTTTGGTTTTGTTTTGGTTTGGTACCGGGAATCGAGCTCAGGACTTGTGCTTCCCAAACAGGCATTGTGCCACTGAGCTACATCCCCGGCCCCTTAAACAGTATCTTCAAGGGAAAATTCAATCGTAGTACGATATATGAGGTCAAATAATACCTTAGAAAGTGTCATTTTAACATCGTAATTATTGCATAGGTTAGACATAGAAACATTAAGATATTGTGAAGAATTACAGTGCCTAAAGTAAGAATAAAACAGCATATACATACCAAAAATATTTAGTTATATATTTGAAGGAAATTTGAACTGGTGTTTGAAATATTGAGATATAAAATCAGTGATGATAATTGTTTGAATGACCTAAAAGGAAATTACATTTTAAAAAATGCTGAAAATTGCCTTTCTGTGTTCAAAATGAAAGACTTATATCGAATAAAATGATGGAATAGTTATTCAAAAATTTAACAATAAACATTTTCTGTTAGAAAAAGTGATAAAATTGTAAGTGGAGTTATGTCCCTTACATAGCACTAAACCTTGGAAGCAGATTTGGACAAATTACATTTGTAATTTATGATCTGATTGTTGTTGATGATTTGACCCTTGATCAATTGTTTGCATTTCAGAAAGCTTTTCATTTTGCTTTAATTTTAGCAAAGCGGGTTATGATAAATAACTTCCCAATTTCTTGTTCAAACCTACGGGTGATTAATTCTTTTGGATGAGATTTGGGAAGTCAAAGGGAAAAAAAACACTGTTACGTTTTCCTGTTTGTGAAGAGTTTAGAAACTGGAAATGATAGATTTGGTAGAAGGACAGAGTTACTTGATAAGGGACTTAGTTTATGCAGTAGCTTGGAGTGTGGGTTTCTTTTTAAACCTTTAAAATCTGGAATTCACACTTGAACAATAGTTACTATGAAAAACAAAAAATTTTAATACTGTTATTCTTTGCACTATATATATGTATGTGTGTTTATCTTACATTGCTTTGTACAGATGTGGGCCACCACTGCCACAAAATAAATTGTTTTTGTTCTAAAATATTTATGAAGCAAATATTTAAATGTTATGTATATGGTGGTAATAAGGAAAAAATCATCTGGTATTATAAGCAAGAATGAAGGTTTTTATAAAGATTTTTGTTTGGTGTTCTACAAAGTAACATTCTGGGCAAGTTTTCCCAGAAGTTATATATGATTATTCTGACTCTTCCAAACTTGCCTTTCAAGAGTGAATAACCATTATTATCAAGTAGACTACTATTTACCTTCTACTATTTCTGGCCCACTGTTTATCCATTAAGGATTATTTTTCTTAGACTCTTCAAACGTGTGACTCCTCTTTCCATTTGAAATGGTGATTTTTAAATGTGTGAGTGCATGCATACTATATTATCTTAGATATTTGCACCCCTACCCACCCCTATATCCTGAAAGCTGGAACACTGCCAACTAATCTATTGAATAAGTCCATTAGAAATATGTAATTAACAATTAAGGTTGGGTGCTGCTAATTATTTGCAAAAATCCAAATATTGTTAAGGGACCAGGGAGATGCCACTACCCCCTAATTTTTCATCAAAAATATGTGTTTATGTAAATGGAAATATTTCCATATTCATAGTGACTTTTTAAGTATTTAAACCTAAAGATTTTGATCTCACGTTTTTATACCTGTTCAAATCATTCGCAGTTATTACGTCAGCCATCAAATAAAGTTGTACTTAATAAATATACTACAAGTATATACATTTCTGAATCAAACACTTGTGGTCTTTGCTTTAATTACACAAACATATCTTGCCTCTTTGATATTTGTGTTAATTTTCTTTTTCTCCTGGAATGGAGGTATAACTGTATGGCTTTTCAGAGCTGGAAAAGTCAGAAATTAAGGAGGGTAATGTTCACAGAGACTGATTAGTAATTCCTTGCCTATATTTTCCTGGTAGCATATGACAAATGTATTTCAGTTAACAAAATGAGAACAGTTTAAAGATTGTGTAGTGTTTCAAATTTGGAGGGAAATTTTTAAATTTTTGAATGTAGTTGCATATTATAATGTATTCATATATGTATGTTCTGTTAAAATGCACGATTTCAAGGATTGTTATTTAGACTTTGTGTTTATTCTTGATGAAAAGCTTTCTTCTTGTTTTTAAGTTTGCACTTGAGTCTTATGAAATAAATTCACCCATGTTATCAAATCCAATTTGTACTTATTTTTGTATCGAGATAAAATCTATAAAGGTTAACCAAACTTTGAACAATAAAATTTCTAAAATACCTATTTTAAGATTTATAGAATTATAGTGAATTACCCCAGCCTAAATCCCATTAATTAGACTATTTGAACCTAAAGTGATATTAATGCAGTCAATAGTGTAGAACCCCTTCGTAAAACTGACATTGTGGGACAATTCATAGGCTATTTATGTGTATTATTGGTAGGTCTAAAAGTAACTATTACTTTTAGACTACTGAATAGGGAGAAGTTAATTTATGTATTATATAGAAATATACATAAAATGATGTTAAGAGCTCAGGAAGGAACCATATTATTTCAGTTTGTTCCTTGATTTCGCTGTTGCTAGTTTTATTGATTTTGGGCAAGTTAACATCCAAAAGTTGCATTTCTCCTTTTGGAAAAATGGAGTTGATTTATAATATATCTACCTTACAGGGTTGCTTGTTTTGGTTAAAATGAAGTAGTCTTTGTAAAGTGTTTAGAACAATAGCTTATGTTAGCTGCCATTGTCATCATTATGTCCAGACAGTGGTCATCAGTCACATTTTTAAAGTATTGTCTAGCACATTCAAAGTTTTAAATAATCCCCTGTCTGAGATGTTGTGAAAAGAATTCTAGATTTAGAAATCAAGGGAGCTGGACTCATTCTGTCACTATAACTATTGGCAAATCTCTTACCTACTCCTCCTTGATTTCATCTCCATTAAAAAAACTGTACTCTACAAAAGATGCCCTTGGGGGCTGGGGATTTAGCTCAGTGGCATAAGCACCTGCCTTGCAAGCAGGCAGGTGAGTTCAATCCTTGGTACTGACAAAACAAAAAGATGCCCTTTGCATAAAGAGAAACACAAATGAGAGTAGAGAATGTAATAATCTCTAAGATCCATCATGTCTAGTTTTCAGATTCTCATTATTTTTAAAATTAAGTTTATTGGTACATTCTAGGTATACATAATACATACATGTTAGGTACACATTTATTATAGGGGATTTGTACCTGTACATAATGTGATTCTTTTTTCCCATCCCCTACTCTCCCTTCACAACCCCTTTCCCTCCTTATTTATAAAAGTTTTATTTGCATTTTTTCTTTTCCCTTCCTTCCTTCCTGTCCCTGTCCCCCACCTCTCCCTAGTTCTCCTTCCCATTTGAAAATTTTCTTCCTGTTTTCAAATTCTGATATTATTGTCCCAAGTTGACTTTTTAGTGGTGTGCTAGATCCCAAGTCTCCCATAAGGATCTGTATCTATATATTATGTCATCTCAAGGAGCAAGAATTCTACAAGATATAAGGAATCCATTACTTTCATTTTATTTATTTATTTATTTTTGAGACAGGATCTCACTATGTAGTTTGTGCTGGACTTGAACTCATAGCAAACCTCCTGCTACAGCCTCCTGAGTGCCGGGATTACAGTCATGTGTAGCCATGCCCAGCTTATGTTTAATTTGAAATGAGAGTTGTTCATGCCTAATATAAAGCAGTGCTTGTAAGCTTTTCTATTCTGTGACCCACAGTTGTATGCACATACTTGTGAGTATGTAAAAACCATTTTGTAAATATGTTTTTGTGAAGACAAAAAAAATATCAGTAATGAGATGTACATTGATTTTGTGTATCATTTATGTGGTTGTCACCTACTAAATTGATTGATGATACTGTAAAATAGTGCTGATAGAACTTTCCATAAAGTTGAAAATGTTCTGTATCCATCAACACGTGGCTATTGAGTACATGAAATGTTAGTATGACTAAATTTTTAATCATATTACATACTAAATTTTTAATTTTATTTCTATATTTACTACCATAGCTATAGAAAAATGACAAGCCACAGGTTGAATGTCTATGAAAGGTAACTATCCTGCACTCTTCTCATTTCCTGTTTCTGAGGCTACCACTTTTGTAGTTGACTGTTTCTGTGTTTACTATCTTTACATCTGAATAATATGCTTGTGTTACGCATCTTGATTTTGTCACTGTTGACTTCTCACTACACACAGGCACACCTGTCATCTGCCCAATGTAGATAGATGTGCAGTTAGAGCAGTGAGTCCTTACGATATAACTGTTATTCTGTTATTAAATGTTTAATAAGGAACTATATTTGATTTTCCTTTTCTGTGCTTTTAACCCCATGGAGCTATCTATCTTCCATATCTATCTTCAATAATTATCTTCCATTTGCTTTGTTTTCAATGTATCAACAATTCATCCCCAGATCATCACCAATCATGTATATCTTCAGCTGTAGAGCAACAACCTATGTGGATTTCATCCCCAGCGACCCACACCCCTCAAAAAGATAACAAAGTTCTAACAGTTTCATCTGAAATAAATTATTTTTATAACCTTCTGATCTATGTTAGTCTAGAATATTTGCCCTACTTTTTTTGTTACAAGGCTATTTCCTCAGAGTCTACCTTCATCATCGTCCTGAAATTTTCCCTTATGTTTTAATTACTTCTATCCCTTGTATTTTTCTTACTTGGATGATTCTTTCTATTAAAACATATCCTGAAGTAGAATTAATTTTTAAGCCTTAATTGATAGTTTGGTTGGGCATAGAATTTAAAATTTCCTCTCCATGTTAAAAGCAGTATTTCATTGTCATTCAGCTTTCTGTGTCCTCTCCCCAGCAAGTTGGAATGCAATCTTCCATTCTGTTACACTTCTGTACTCCCTGATATCTCAAACTCCTTCCCAGAAGTGCTGTAATCATGCTCTACTTAGGAATCACATGGCAAAGTTAACAACATGACACTTAAGAAGTTTTTCTGGGTTACCTCTTGTTTAATTGTGGTACATGCCATCAGCAAACAAAAGAAAGTCTAATCTATCATCACTGGCCAAGAGGCTACAGGAGACAGTTAGAAAATGATACTTGAACTAAACACTGTATGTAGGAATTGGAAAAGACAGGACCCATTTTATGCTTCAGCTGTCTGGGAAGGTTTTTTTGAAGGTCTCTGAGCCTAACTTTGAAGCTGAAAAAAGTGACTTTCACAAAATTATAGCTGATAAGAAAGTATGCATTTGTCTTTAGCTGCATCACCTCTGGGCCCCATCAGCTTTCAAGGACCAAATAGGGTGAAACAACAGGAACCTCGTGGGTCATAAGCTTGAGGTTCTAGACTAAGATTTCTAGGAGATTCCACATTTGCCTGATATACTCGATGTCTTCAGCTCTTGGGGTGGCAGAGCTCCCTGGCAGGTTACCTTATCCATTTATCACGGGAATCCATCTGTGTTACTGATGTGTGCTAAATTGGGAAAACTGTTGGAAAGCACTATTTTAGATGTGCTTTTCTTCTTGGAGAGTAGTGGTAACATATGATCTGCATAATTTGTTTTTCTGTCTGCCATGCCAAGCAGATTGTCAACTCTGTGAAGTTAGTAGACACTGTACGAGTCTCTTTCACTGTTAATTCTCCAGTGCCTGCCATTGTACTTGACACCTAGTGAACAAAGAAAGGAAGTCTTAAGGGTTTTTTTTTTTTTTTTTTTTTTTTTTTTTGTCTTTTTGAGACAGGGTCTCACTATGCAGTTCAGGTTGGCCTTGAGCTCACTCTGTAGCCCAGGCTGGTCTCAAACTTGTAACAGTCCTCCTGCCTCAGTCTTCTGAGTGCTGGAATTACAGATGTGTCAGCATACCTGGGTAGGAAATCTGACTCTTAAAGGATAAGTAAAATTTGAGTAACCTGGAAAGGACAAGGACTTGCAGAGAAATTAACAATGTGAATAGACATACACATAGTCATGGTGTGTGCCAAACAATTTGCAAAACAGCTGAGGGACCCAGAATTGTTCATGTTTTGAGGCAATAGGAAATTATCAGACCATATCGTACCTATTCAACATAATGCTGGTGGAATAATGAGCCACTGAAGCATTACTGACCAAGAACAAAGTGAAATTTAAAAGAAATAGATGGTAGATGACACAACTGGTCTTGATTTTTCTCTTAGCATCTATTTTCAAGTCAGGCTCTGTATCTGATAGCTTGGACCCCAGAATAAAACCCCAGGAAGCAAGAAATTAAAATTTGGGGAGCAAAGGCTTTATTTTAGGCCAGGCCTTGCCACGCAATCACCAGGAGCCAATTTGCACGCCTCACAGCTGGGGAATTTGCATGCCTCACAGCTGAGGAATTAGGCTTTTAAAGCTGAAAACCACAGGAATGTTGTAACCGCTGACACAGGTAGCATCTGGGCTTTACAGAACTTCCTGTAATTTCCTTGTAGTTAAGCATTTCTTAAAGAACAGCACATTTTATTACAGATAGCCAGATGAGGGGGAGGGGAGGGGTTACAGGAAACTGATACCTAAGGCTTTTACAGCTTTCTCAGGAAATTGAAACTTAACCTAGAAAGATAGGAAGGGAGGGGGGGGGGCTGAGTGTCGCATACAGAACAGAAATGAGGTGCAATGATTAAAACTAGGTTACAACACTGTATACTTAATGTGGGAACAATTTCCTTCATGGGCGCTGATTCCAATAATTCCTAAATATTTCTATACCATTTTCCAGCTCAGAAATCCTTATAGAAACTCCTGGATCCCCTAAGGAAAAGAGCACTATGCCATCCCTCTTGATACTGGAATGAGAGAAAATGAATCCTGCTCTCCCTCCCACATACTCAAGCTTATATCAATTGTTATATTCTCAGGGAAGCCTCCCCTGAGCTCCCTGAGATTGAATTAAATGCCTGTCTACCAGTTCTATAGCACTATATGCTTGTTAGTAATGAAATGACTACAGGTGACAGTAGTGGGCATTTAATATGTTCCAGGCACAATGCTAATTAGTTTAGAAGCACTACTTATTCAATCCCTGCAATAGATCCTATGGTAAGCACTTACTATTTCCATTTTGCAGATTAAAACACTGAAGCACGGGGAAGTTGAATAATTTTGCTCTAGGTAGTAGCTGGTAGATAGCCAAAGCAGCGCTTAAG